AGGCAGGTGGATCTCTGTGAGTTCGAGACCAGCCTGGTCTACAGAGCTAGTTCCAGGACAGGCTCCAAAGCCACAGAGAAACCCTCTCTCGAAAAACAACAACAAAAAAAAAACAAACAAACAATATATATATATATATATATATATATATCTCAAAACAAAAAAAAGAGCCTGCAATCGATCTCTTTTATTTTGCAACTTTTGGGGTCTAATTTTTTTTGTAGACCTATTTTATAGCCTAAATGAATAATAGAATCTCCTCTTTGTATTTTTTCAGGAGAATTTTGTAATCCCCAACAAGGCAAAATTTTCTTTTTTTCTTCAAACGTTTTTTTCTAAATTATCTACATTTGAATCTGATAGGAAATGTAGTGGTGAACTATACATTGAGGAAATCACTTACATACCATTTTCAATGGCTGACTTATAAAATATTGGCACAGGATGGGGATATTTAACATTTTCTATGGGAGAATCATCCATTGATATCTTTTAATAGGCTGAGAATCATAAGTAGGCATTGTAAAGGCAATTTTTTCTTTTTCTTGTAAAAGTATACTGAAGAAAAAAATCAGTAAGTATAAGAGGCCATCCTTTAGGCAATAGGAAAGGCAAAGGAATTCCAGACAGTAGAGAGCCCATTGACTGAATCACCTTATTAACAGCTCTTGGATCTATTACCATTCTCTATTTTTCAGATTTCTTATTAACAACAAATACAGGAGAATTCCAAGGACTGGTTGATTCTTCAGTATGCTGTGCATCTAGTTCCTCCTGTACCAGCTGTTCTAAAGCCTGCAGATTCTCTATTGTTTTGTTGTTGTTTATTTTTGTTTTTCAATACAGAGTTTCTCTGTGTAGATTTGGAGACTGTCCTAGAACTCACTCTGTAGCTCAGGCTAGCCTCGAACCTTGAACTTAAAGAGATCCACCTGCCTCTGCCTCCCGAGTGCTAGGATTAAAGGCACGTGCCACCACCACCCAGCTTAGTTTCTTTGTTGTTCAAGACCATTGTACAACTCATATAAGTTTGTCAAACATTTCAAAGGTAGGGCTGTTGGCTGCCGTTGGAAGATCAGCACCTGTTGTGCCTGTTCTTGTACAACCTGAATGGTCGGTGACTCTTCTTCATAAAACCTTTTAATATTTTTCTCTGAAACCTGTTGACCAAGGATTCTGTCCCACCTGGTCCTGCAGCCATTTAGTCCCAAATAAATACACAGAGGCCTACATTAACTATAAACTAATTGGCCTATTAGTGTAGGCTTCTTATTAACTCTTATAACTTATATTAGCCCATAATTCTTGTCTGTGTTAGCCACGTGGCTTGGTACATTTTTCGGCAAGGCAGTCACATCTTGCTTTCTGTGTGTCTGGGTGATGACTTCAGACTGACTCTTTCCTCTTCCCAGCATTCTCCTGTTCTCCTCACTCTGCCTCTATTTCCTGTCTGGTCGCCCCACCTATACTTCCTGCTTGGATACTGTCTAATCAGTGTTACTAAAAATAATACAAGTGACAGGATAAAAGACCATTGTCCCGCAGCAGAAACATATGTTAATTTATGGTTTGTTTCTAAGATTGGGGGAATGTTATGCTGAATATTCCATTGCTGTAACAAATCATGCCCCAAGTTCATTGCTATGTTAGCCACATATTGTTTTAATATTGCTCTCTGTCCTTCTGTCCATCCAATCCATCTCGTGCTCTGCTTTACTTAAGATAAAGTTCAGATCTCTAAAACCTGAACATTTACATCCTGAAGAGGCCAATTTGGATGCCAAGATTCTGGTGAAATTCATATTATTAATTTTGGTCTTTATTTATAAAAGTTTGCCAAAATGCTCACTTTATCTTTTCTCCTGAATCTTTTGTTCTCTCTTCTCTAACTGTTTTATTATCCAGAGCAGTATAGTTTCTTACAAGGGGCATTAGGTGTTTTATGCACAGCATAAAGCCAGGATGTCACCATTATATAAAGAGTGCATTTCTACAGTAGCATAGTCTCATTCTCCAAGAAGTTGATCTTGTGAGATTTCCATACCTCTAGCCTTACCACATTATTCAATAGTTTTAACCACTTCTCTGAACTAGTTTTAATTATGGGCCAGGCTCTAAAACAGCTTTAACCAACTCTATCCAGTCATTAGGGATAATTCTTTTACAAACCAACCAGGAGAGTAACATTTGTTTTACAAAACATATGAGGCTATTGCTTCCTTGAATCTCCTTAAACCTAACATTGGCACAGGAGCCCATTCTGCTCTTACTGATTTGGCGATTCCTGTATGGAGATATTGAGGTTGGTTCTTTGAAAACCTTAGGCTGTTCCTCTATATTCTTATAATGCAATGCTAAAATTGGTTCTCCATTAAATTTCTCTGTCTGGATTTGAATATCTCTGTGATCTGTTTTATTAAGTTTTTCTAAGGCCTGTATCTTAGCCCTCAGATTAACCAACTTTTTTAGTGATACAACAGAAATGATAATGCTGATAATGTTTACAATTGTATTACATAAATCCCATCTAAATTAGTTATCCTCATTTAATCATTCCATTTTCAAACTGTCCAGCATATACAGAGACACAAATCCCTGCAATGTTATGGTGTTTCCCATTTCTTAATGTGGTAAAAAAGAAAAGAAACAAAAAACAGAACTCTCTCTTTTAACTATTTCCTCTCTTTATGAAGTCCCAGATGTCATACCAAATCTGCTGACAATGTTGATGAGCATTTAAGGCTTATTGCTGTTGCAAAAAAGCAGTAAAAGCCTGACTGGATTCCAAGGCAGCTACCTAGTTTGGCAGCAGCCCAAGAAGGGGGCTCAAGGAGAGCCCGCCAGGAGAGAAAAAAGAAAAATGTTGCCACTAGGGCAGTGACTCCAGCTATGTGTAACTCCAGCCTATGACGGTGGCTGTAAAGCTACACAGGCAAATGGCTTTTTTGTGTGAATTTTTGCCCTAAATGTTGGGTGCCAATTGTAGCATGAGATAATAAAAATCCAGAGACAGATATTGGGGTTCAACCTGAAAATCAGAAAAGCAAAGCAGCTAACTGCTGACTCTTACCTCTACCTCAAACTGAAAATGGGCAATCTTGCCTCCATGAATTCTCAGTTTGAGACTGAGAGTGAGACCTGTCTCCTTCCGTTTTATATTCATCTCTAATGCTGGGATTAGAGGTGTGCACCACCACCACCTGGCCTGTACGACTGACTAGTGTGGCTCCTGGAATTAAAGGTGTGTGCCTCCAATGCCTGGCCTGTATGGTTGACTAGTGTGGCTGCTTTTCACTGATCTTCAGCCAAGCTTTATTTATTAAAACACAAATAATATACCACTATAGGGGGATGTTAATCTGAGTATTCCATTGCTGTAACAAATTTCATTGCTAAGTTAGCTCCATATGGCTTTAATTTTCCTCTCTGTTCTTCTGGCCCTATGCATTTAGCCCATCTCTTACTCTGTTTTACCTAAGATAAAGTTCCAATCCCTAAAAGCCAAATATTTACTTCCTGAAGAGGCCAATTTGGATGACAAGATTCTGGTAAAATTATTGTTACATCTGCACCTGTGTCTACCAAACCTTCAATGGCAACATTTATTTGTATTTTTTTTAAGTTTATTTAATTTTATTTCATGTGCATTGGTATAATAATGTCAGATTCTCTGGAACTGGAATTACAGACAGCTGTGAGCTGCCATGTGGGTGCTGGGAATTGAACCCGGGTCCTCTGGAGAGCAGTCAGTGCTCTTAACCACTGAGCCATCTCACCAGCCCAGTTTATATGTATTTTTAATTTTAATCTTTGTTCATTTATAGAAGTTTGCCATGCATCAATGTAATTAAAAGATTTTAAATCATTAATTGAATATTTGCACGACTATTGAGAAGAAATAAAAATGCATGTATTGGTGTGGAAGGTATCTAAAAAATAGTATTGCCTACATAGACGACATTTGCCTGGGTTTTATGTATTTGTCCTTTCCTTGAGTAAAAAGGGAACATGAAAGTATTCTCTTGATGTTCCCTTATTTTCCTCACTGATGTGACAAAATCCTGGATCAAAGTAACTTAAGGAAGGTAAGTTTTCTCTGGCTTATAGTTTTTCAAAGAAGGCTCCATTATTGGGATGATGTGGTTACAGGAAGACAAGGCATCAGGAGCATGAGTCAACCTTGCATCTGTAGGAAGCAAAGAGAGAAATGAATGCTAGTGCTCAGTTTGCTCCCTCTTTTCTTTTCTGTTTGGGACCTCAACCTCAGTTCATGGAATGACACAGCCCATATTCAGAGTAGGTCTTTCTTTCTTCATTAAAGTTCTTTGTAAATGCCCTTACAGACACTCCTAGAGGTGTGTCTCCTAGGTGATTCTGAAATCCCTATTTCAGTGACCCCTTGTACCCTGACCTTTCATTTGTTCTCATCTTAGAACAAACAAGTCAGCTTGCACATTGTAAGACAGTTGATTTTGGCTAAATTCTCCAGACCTAATGTGATGGTGCACAATATATTCTTTTATAAAAAAAAAAAAAATAAAAATCTAGTCAAGCTCACACTGAAGATTAACCACCTCTCTAACAAACCTTAAGAAGCATTTGCTTTCTGGACAGCCCCAATTTGAGGGGAAGATGATAGATTTTTGTGAGTTATTCTGTTTGTATATGTACATATATGTGTGTAGAATTTTAAATATAGGTTCCACAGTATAGAAAGTATGGTGTTTGTATTTCTGTTTCTGACTTCTTTACCTAATATAGCAATGGCCAGTTTTGATTGTTTATTCTAACTATGCAGGTATTGTTTGAATCTGTCATATGTGAGAATATATTACTAGTATAGAAAAAAGGGTTAAGATAGTCATTAATAATCATAAAACTCTAAACTCTCTAAAATCTTGAGAATAGTGACAGTTACTATGTTCTATTTTTCTCCATTAAATATTTCTAACTCGTGTGCTAATTGATATTTAAATTCCTTTATTTACTTACTTTTTTAGGTGTGGAATATCAAGCAAATGATTAAATTGACACAGGAACATATAGAGGCCCTATTGGACAAATTTGGTGGGGAACATAATCCACCATCAATATACTTGGAGGTAAGTTTTTAGTGTCTTTTTATAGTAATTTTGAGGGAAAATTTATAAAAATGTTTTATAATAGTAGTTTGGTTGTTTTAAAAAGTAGAATTAGAGACATATTGGAAGAATTAGCTTTGCTCTTTTTGTTGGTTTCATAGTTTTGTTTTCTTTCACTTGTTACAATCTACATAGGTTAGTTTTATTTGGAAAATGTCAAAACTGAGAGGGATGTCCCCTATAGACTTTAATATTGCCTAAATTTAAAAGAAGAATCATTAAAAAGAGAAAGCACACTATTTTGATAGTCAGCAAAATGAGTTATCATATTTGAAAGTAGGGCAGTTTTATAAAATATGTTTTCCAGAATAAGTTCCCCATTGTTGGTTTCTGCTTTTTCATAGATACAATTTATAATATTGGAATGACCCAACATTGTTCAGTCTTACTGCTTAATGGTGTCTTGGGACTTGTGTCATCCTTCAGTGAGGTCATAAATCTGTCGTTATCATTGTTCATAGTCTGTGAAACAGTAGATGCTATATAATCACAGATAAGATTTGTCCTTAGTTTCCTTCTGAAAATCGGTCCATTTCCTCAGCAAGCAAGCTACTGTGGAATCTAGGCGGTCAGGTTCTACAATCAACACTGCTCGCCATACTTCCCATTGTCTTTCTCCATAAAATCTTGCTCAGTTATAATCACATACATAGGTAACTCTAAATTGTAAAAGACAAGAGCCAGGTATGGTGCCACATGCCTTTTAGTTCCAGCATTTAGAAGGCAGAAGCAGATGGATCTCTGTGAATCTGTGGCCAACTTAGGCTATATAGCAAGTTCTAGGATAGCCAAGACTACACAGTGAAACTCTGTCTCAAAACTAACAACAGAAGAGATCATGTTAACATTTGGCTTCAAAAACAAGAGATTTTAAAGCATATTTTAAACAGCTTCTAACTAAAATTTCTAATTTAGCTATCTACTTTTTAAAGAACAAATTTAAGTCTTCATTATTTGGGAGAAAGTTAAGTTTGTGTTAATAAAAGATGTCTTGGAACTTTGATAACACCAACTAAACTGTTCTCTTTGACTTCTTCATATGACTTATTCCAGATCACATTGCTGCTTATGCCAGGACTAGAATTCGTATCTTGAAATACTATTAGTGTACTTTTACTTGTATAGTATAGGAGGCTGAGCAAGGGAATCAGAAGGAGGTATAACCTTAGTGAAACTGTTTATTTTTGTTTATTAAACTTAAAAGCATAAGCAGCAGTTTGTCTCACATTTAAAACCATAAACATGCCTATTTACAGTCGTGATGGATTGCAGCCACACAATACCCCTCAGACATTTGAATACTTGAAAATTGATTAGTAAAAAGCAAAAACATTTATGTTTATTCTTATTCTGTGCCCTGTACTATTTTAAATGTTTTTATTACTACTTATAATTATTTTTAGCAAGCTCCTACTTTTATTTTCATTTTACAGGTGAAACCAAGAAGTTAAGTAACTTATTTCAAGTGATACTATTAATAAGGAGAAGCAGGCACATTTAACTCATAAGTCTGTGATACTGATCACTGCCTTATTCTGTTGCTATCCTGTTGTCTTTGCCGTTTCTCCACCACCAGACAACTCTTAGTTAGGCTAAACATTTCTAATTTCCTTTTCCATTCTTTCTGGTGTTATTGTGGACATTTTATTAGATGTATTTAATTTTATTGGTTTCTTTTTAGAATTAGGCATACAAATTTGAATTGTATGTTCAAGATACATCAGAGTAAAATTTAATGGATTATATTATTAGTATATGACAAAGAAATAGATATTGTTCTCATGGACTAATATTATAGTGGAATCTTGAACCTGAGCCAACCAGGTCCTTAGGCTTAACTGGCCCTTATGTCTTTGAGTTTATACCTCAAAGTAGAATTGCAGGATCATAAAGTGATTCTGTTTAATTATTTAAAGGAATTTCTCATACTTTTGTTGTCATTGGGGTTTTTTGTTTGTTTGTTTGTTTGTTTGTTTTTGAGACAGTCCTAACTGTCCTAGAGAACTCTCATTGTTTGAGGGCTGACTGAGAAGCCAAGGAAAATGGCACTGGGTTTTGATTCTACTGCATGTACTGGGTTTGTGGGAGCCTAGTCAGTTTGGATGCTCACCTTCCTAGACCTGGATGGAGGGGGGAGGACCTTGCACTTCCCACAAGGCAGGGAACCCTGACTGCTCTTTGGACTGGAGTGGGAGGGAGAGGGGGAGGGGGGAATTTTTAATTTAAAAAAAAAAAGAACTCTCATTGTAACCAGGCTGGCCTCACAGAGACCCACCCACCTCTGCCTCTTGAGTACTGGGATTAAAGGTAGGTGACACCACTTTACATTCTTTTTTGTTGTTGTTGTTTTGTTTTTGTTTTTCAAGACATTCTTACCATCAATAAATGCATAAGGATTCTGCTCTCTCAACATCCTTACCAACACGGAATATTTTCTATTTCGGATTTGATAATAATAACCATTCTAATAAATATAAAGTAGTATTCTGTTATGGCTTTGCTTTGCATTTCCCTAATGATTTTTTTTTTTTTGGTTTTTCGAGACAGGGTTTCTCTGCAGCTTTGGAGGCTGTCCTGGAACTCCATTTGTAGACCAGGCTGGCCTCAAACTCACAGAGATCCGCCTGCCTCTGCCTCCCAAGTGCTGGGATTAAAGGCTTAAAGGCATGCGCCACCATTCCCTAATGATTATTATGTTGAGAGCTTTTTATAGTTTATTGTTGATTTGGACATCTTTTTTAGAGAAATGTCTGTGAAAACCCTTTGTCTAATTTTTAATTGGATTGTTTGTATTTTAGTTACTGAGTGCGGTTCTTTTTAAAAATGTAATTAATTAGTTTTTTCATTAATCAATTCCTGTGTATGAGTCAAAAGACAATTTTTAAGAATTGTTCTCTCCTTCCAACCATGTTGGTCCTGGGGATCAAACTTAGATTGTCAGGCTTGGTAGCAAGTACCTTTATTCACTGAATCGTCTTGCCAGGCCTCTTTCTGTATTCTTTTTTATGCCTGAGAGTATGGCTGGCATTCTCATTCAAACTACTGCGTTCAGTCCCCAAATAGGCTTATGGCCATATCATAATGCAAAATTCATTTAATCCAACTTCAAGTCCAAAGTCTCTTCTAAGACTCTAGGTCATCTCTTACTTATAACCCCCCTATAAAATCAAAAAGCAAATGACATACTTCCAATATATAATGGCACAAATTTAGATTACCATTCCACAAGGGTGGAATGTAAGCATGGTGAGAAAAATCCAGGACCAAAGCAAAACCAAATTCCAACAGTATAAAATTCTGTAGCTCTTATGTCTGATATCTGGTACTTGAGTTTCAAAGGACTTAAACGCCTCAGCCCCACCAGATTTGCTGCCTGTAACATGCATTTCTCTCTCTTGGGCTGAGTCTACTCCCTGTATGTGACTCTCTTTGGCAGATAGCTCACAGCTCTGGCATCTCTAACATCTTGTCATCTCCAATGCAACTCAGTTTCACTTTCATAGCTTCACACAATTTGAAATTTATCTTTTTTGTTGATCTATATGGTTTACTTGTCAACCACCATAATCCTAAAGAAAGAAACAAATGTATTTGCCCTTGAGAAATTCTTTCCACAATTTCTTCTGTTTTTTTAATTTTCCTGAATGTAGTCAGTTAATAAATTTGAATATCTTTTCTGTGGAAAGATAGTATTAAATGCTTTAAAAATTGTTTGCAATTCTTTGTTTTATATGTGCCTTTGTGCACACACAAATGTCTGTGCATGAATATGTGCCATGTGTGTGCATGGAGATCAGAAGACAATTTGAAGGAGTCTTTTCTCTCTTTCCATCATGTGGAGCCCAAGGATTGAATTCAGGTTGTCAGACTTGGTGGCATATGCCTTTAACTGCTCAGCCATCTTGCTAGCTTTAAGACACTTTTCTACTTATTTCTATACCTGAGTATGGAGGCCAGATACAAGATACTGCTTCATGTTAGCTGAGAAGCAAAGAGAAAAGCAAGGAGGAGCCAGAATTCAGTATTCTCTTCAAAGGTGGACCTAGTACTAATACTCAGTAGGCAGAGGCAAGCTGTGAGTTTCAGATCAGCCAATACCACAGGACTACAGTACCATATATTGAAACCCTGTCTCAAAAAAAAGAAAAAAAAGAAATGTTCCTAATAATATTTTCTTATACTAGGGCTGCCTCTTATAGGTTCTACCTTTAACATGTGGCCTTTGGGGGAGGGCGGTATTTTAGATCCAAACAAAAATAGTCAATCAATATAACATTCTTAAAATGTGTGGCAATCTTTTTCATCTTAAGATGTCAAACTGGAAACACTGAAGGCACATGTCATCAGTTTCTGCAATGAAAAGAGTACCAGAATGTAGATCAGTTCATTGTATATATCTATAGACAGTTAGTAAAGTTTTATTAGATAATATGAGATCAAATTCAGTAAAAATAATTTTAATAACGTAATGGTGTTGCACACCTCTAATTCCAGGTACCTGAGAGGCTGAGGCAAGCAATTTCAAGGCTAGTCCAAGTAATCTAGCAACCCTGTTTCAAAATCAGAAAATTAAGATCAAGGATTGATAATAGTTAAGTGATATTTACCTAGAATGCATGACACCCTGGGTTCAATAATCAGTACAGGGACGGGGAAAGGGTAAATTTAATGACTTAGTTGCAATAGATTTGTAAAGTATTACCATAAACTCTAAAACATTTTCATTATTCCTCAAAAGAAATTCTTTATCCTTAGCATCTGTGCCCTCGAGTCCTTGAAATAACTGATCTTTTTGTCTTTGCAGATTTACCTATATTGTAGACATTTTGTAAGCAGCTTTTTGTGACTTGATGCTTTTGCTTAACATAATGTTTTCACAGTTTAACCATGCTGTGGCATAAATTAGTGCCTCATTTCATTTTTTTAGTAAATAATTACCATGTGGGTTTTTTTAACCTGCTCAACAACTAATGAATATTCAGCTGTTTAACTTACTGGATATTTTTAGTTATTCCACCATGGACATTCACATCATAGATTTTCTGTGGGTTATTTTGTTTTGTTTTAATTCTCTTGGCTGTATGCCTAGGAATAGAATTATTAGGTCTTGTGATAATTCCTACAGTTTGAAGAACTGCCAGATAGTGTTCCAAAGCTTTGACACTATTTTACATTCCCATTGGTAATGTTTGTTATTCCAGTTTCTTTGCATCCTTATCAACACTTGTTATTTCTCATTTGGTTTTTATTGTAACCACTCTTGTAGGTGTGGATTAGTATCTCTGTTTGGTTTGGTTTATAACTCACTAGTAAGAAATGGTTTTGAACATCTTTCATGTACTGCTTGTGTATCTTCTAAGAAATGTCTATTCAGATTTTTTACTCTATTTTGTCTTCTTCCTTCCTTTTTTCCTTCCTTCCTTTTTTCTCCTTCCTTCCTTTTTTCTCCTTCCTTCCTTCCTTCCTTCCTTTTGTTCATCACTGCCTTAGCTTCTTCAATTCTGCCTCTTTCCATAGCACATGAACCAGTCCACTTCTCTTTCTCTCCCATTTCTCCACTATGTATTTGTTCATTATAATGGCTCCTACCTGTCTGGTGCTGCAGGGATGTCTTCTGGCAGCTTGGGCCATGAAGACCCAGGTAGGCCTGTGGGCATCCCTCCTCCCACCACCTGGTCAAGAGAACCCAGGTGGGCCTGTGTTCCTCTTTTGATGTTTAACTTTGAGACAGCATCTCACCTAAGTTGCATAGGTTAGCTTTGAACTCTTTCTATAGCCTAGTGTTCATTTGATAGCTTTGATCTTGAGAATAAATTTGAACATGATTTATTTTCAAAATGAATTAAATGTCAGGAGATTTTGAGATTCAGGGAAAAATAGAAAAAGAATAAATATAAAGAATGCAATATAAGCCGGGCGGTGGTGGCGCACGCCTTTAATCCCAGCACTCGGGAGGCAGAGGCAGGCGGATCTCTGGGAGTTTGAGGCCAGCCTGGTCTCTTGGTCTACAAGAGCTAGTTCCAGGACAGGCACCAAAGCTACAGAGAAACCCTGTCTCGAAAAACCAAAAAAAAAAAAAAAAAAAAGAATAAACTATTTTAACTGATAACTACAGTTATTTCAGAAAGAAGATAGTAGCTACAAGTCATCTAAGCCCTACCTAGTCTTGTTGTTGACACTGAGATTGGTGTGATCTGGCATTCTGATGCTGTGTAACTCATTCCTGAATTGTTTTGTTTGTTTTTTGAGAGAGGGTTTCTCTTGTAGCTTTGGGGCCTGTCCTGGAACTAGCTCTTGTAGACCAGGCTGGCCTCGAATTCACAGAGATCTGCCTGCCACTGCTTCCTTTACATTCCCTCTCTCTGTCTCTGAGTGTGTGTGTGCGCGCATCACTCACATACATGCACGTATATTATCAATTATCACTTCATATTCAGAGTCATACAAATGGAATCATTCATTTCAAATAAGTATGGCAATGATTGTTTGTTGCCAAGGTCTATAAAACTTAATATGCCTGCAACTTTTCTGGAAAATAAAATTATTCTTGATGCAGTATAATGTTTTATACATATTTTATCTTATGCTAAACTTATTTTGGAAAATAAATTGAGAAATACTGTTTTTAAAATTAACATTTAAGGAGCATGTAATTACAGCGTATGTAGGTCAAGTTTCCAAACGTAATAAACTAATGTCCTATAACATTTTTTCCATTGAAAAGTGAGAGTATTTATAGTATTTTCAGTATTTATTTTGTAATAACTTAAGCCCTTAGCTTAAAACCCTGTTTTATATTATAAAGAAGTTATAGTCAAAGACTGGTTTTATATCTTTTGTGAATGACAGAGCAAACTCTAGGTCTAATGTGAGTCTCCTTTATTTTATAGGCCTATGAAGAGTACACCAGCAAGCTAGATGCCCTCCAGCAAAGAGAACAACAGCTATTGGAGTCCCTGGGGAATGGAACTGATTTTTCTGTTTCTAGCTCAGCGTCAATGGACACCGTTACATCCTCCTCTTCCTCTAGCCTTTCAGTGCTACCTTCATCTCTTTCAGTTTTTCAAACTCCTACCGATGTATCAAGAAACAACCCCAAGTCACCACAAAAACCTATTGTTAGAGTCTTCCTGCCCAACAAACAGAGGACAGTGGTGAGTCGATGTTTATTCTAATGTTTTTACTCTTTCTTTGTGTTGAACATTCTATCACTGCATATTTAGAGCCATGAAAATGGAAGTATCCATTTCAAACAAGGATACAAAAGACATAGATTGTTTTGTGCCAAAGTCTATATATAGTTACCAAATTTCTTTTCAAATTTTATTTGGTTTCTCTTCTCTCTCCTCTCCCCTTTCTCTCTTGAGACATGGTTTTATTATGTAGCCTTGACTGGTCTAAAACACACTATGTGGATGAGACCAACATCCAGTTAACAGAGATCTGCTTGTCTCTGCCTCTCAAGTGTTGGGATTAAAAGTATATGTCCTGGCATTCCATCAAACTTCAACTTCAATGGCACTTAAATATAAGTAGCAGTTAAGATTCAGCTAGGAGACTGGAGAGATGGCTCAGTAGTTAAGAGCACTGGCTGCTCTTGCAAAGGACCTGGGTTCAGTTCCCTGCACTTTTATGTTGAATCACAACCATCTGTAATTCCATTTTGGGGGAACTTAATGCCCTTTTCTGGCCTCCAAGAATAACCAAGCACACATATAGCGCCCTTTTAGACAGGCAGGCAAAATACTCAAAAGTATAAAATAAAAATGAATAAACCTTTTTTTTTTAAGGTGATGAGAATTTCATGATTTAAGCTTGTATCAGCTAAGATTTCTTCCTCTAAGTAATCTCCATTCTAAGTTATCAGAAGTTAACTTTCAGTGTGCTTGATATTTCTCCTCTTATTTATATGACTTTTTAAAATTTATGACAAGTATCATTGTCAGGCGGGGCTGGCACATGCCTTTAATCCCAGCACTCAAGAGGCAGAAACAGGCAGATCTCTGAGTTCAAGGCCAGCCTGGTCTACAGAGCAAGTTTCAGGATGTCCAGGGCTACACAGAGAAACCCTGTCTCAAAAAAATCCACAAAACCAGGTATCATCAATAGAAACTGTGTACCAGTAAGAAACATTTAAAGCAGTAAAATCTGCTGAGTTATTATAGATGATCTGAAGACTTTAAGTAAAGCAAATATTGTCAGCCTTAGTAAATAACATTTCTGTAACTTAAGCCAGTAATTTTTTTAATGTATATGGTTGCTTTTCTAATAAGATGTGTGTGTGTGTGTGTGTGTGTGTGTGTGTGTGTGTGTGTGTTGCCCACAGAGGGCAGAGAAAGCATTAGATTCCTTTGATGTTCTGTTTCTCATAATTCCAAATGTCCATCAACAGGTAAACTGTTAAACTAGTCCCTGTATATACCTATATCCCAGCAATTGGGACATAAAAGCAGGTAAATCAATGTAACTCAAGACCAACCCGATCTATATGTGAAGTTCTAGGCTAGCTAGGTCTACAAAATGAGACCCTGTCTGAAAAGTAAAAAAAGCTAAAAACAAATGTGAATTTTAAAAACAAAATTGTGATATATCTGTGTAAAGAATATCATTTTGATAGAAAGAAAATTTGCTGGTATTCCCATCATACAACATAGATAAATCTCAAGAAAAGTGTGCTATAGAAAAGAAGACAGATTAAAAATGGATACATACTTTGTAATTCCATTTATATAAAATTCTAAATGTACTCTTGGCCATAAGTACTGTATTTAAACATAGTTGTCAGTTTCTTCTTTTTTTTTTTTTAACATGGGGTCTCAAAATGATATTCCTTTCTACCCTGTATATCTTTCTACCTCTGCTCTCCTCAAGTGTCAGGATTATATCCTAACAAGTATATCCCAGCATACCAAGCCTAGATGTCATTTTTGGGGGTTATGTTTTCTTGGCTTTTTGTTTATTTGTTTTTTGTTTTGTTTGTTAGGTTTTAGGAGGGTTGTTTTTTGTTTTGGTTTTGTTTGGTTTTGGTTTTTCGAGACAGGGTTTCTCTGTAGCTTTGGTTCCTGTCCTGGAACTAGCTCTTGTAGACCAGGCTGGCCTCAAACTCCACAAAGATCCGCCCACCTCTGCCTCCTGAGTGCTGGAAGTAAAGGTGTATGCCACCACCCTGTGTCATTTTTTTTGTTTTTTTGAGAAAGGGTTTTCCTATAACTGCCTTGACTGCCTTGGAACTCACTCTATACACCATACTTGAATTTACAGAAATCTGCCTGACTGCCTCCCAAGTGCTGGGATTAAAGGCATGAGCCACCACACCCAGCCATTCTTTTTTTTAAAAAAACTTTTTTTTAAGATTAATTAAGTAATTTATTTTATGTATGTGAGTGTTCTATCTACATGTACACCTGCACACCAGAAGAGGGCTTTCAATCTCATTATTACAGATGGTTGTGAGCCACCATGTGGTTGCTGGGAATTCAACTCAGGGCCTCTGGACGAGCAGCCAGTGCTCTTAACCTCTGAACCATCTCAGTAGCACAATACTTAATACAGATAGGCCGCACACATACCAACTGAGGAATATATAGTTTTTTTGAGGATACTTAGAGATAGGATCTCTCTCTGGTCTGAAACTCACCATGTAGGATTAAACTGGCTGGCCAGCGAGCCCTAAAAATCCACTGTTCCCTGCCTTCCCAGTGATGGGATTATATGCACATGTCACCACATCCAACTTACGTTTTTTGGTTGAGACAGGGTCTGTGCATAGCCTTGGCTTTTCTGGAACTCGCTATGTAGACCAGACTGACCTCAAACTCACAGAGATCCTTCTGCCTCTGCTTCCTGAATGTTGGAATCAAAGATGTATTCCACTACTCCTGGCTCACATCTAACTTACATAAAGTCCCGAAATTCAGCTCAGGTTATCAAGCTTATGTGGTACACACTTTATTAACTGAGCCATCTCTCCCCAGCCCTTTGGGTGTTTTTGAAACAGAATCTCACTGTGTAGTCCAAGCTGGCCTTTAAATTTGTTAAATTTGTTACCCTTTTTTTACTATGATAAAGAGCATGGCCAATTAGAGAAGGAAAGAGTTTATGTGGTTTATACTTCTACATCACAGTTGATAGAATTTAGTGTAGGAACTCAAGGCAAGAATCTGGAGTAGGAACTGAAGCAGGGGCCATGGAGAAGCACTGTTTACCTGCTTTCTTCCCATGACTTCTCAGCCTGCTTTCTTATCCCATCCAGAACCTTTTGCCCAATATAGCACCACCTCCACATCCAACATTAATCAAGAAAATGTCCTCATTTCAAGGCATTTTCTCATTTAAGATTTTCTTTCCCAGATAGGAAACCAACCAGCACACTGTTGAGTCTCAATTTTTTAACTCAAAACAATCCTCTTGCTAAAATGATATTCTTTGGAATGACTTATTCTGATCTGTAACCACTTACAAAAAAAATTATAAATATCTATTTTATAGGCAAGTCCTATAAAACATTTAAAGAATTATAGAATACCAGTCACAAAGTTTATATCCTGGACCACATGAGAGTCTGTCTCAAAAAAAGAAAAGCAATAGTTGTGTAGTTTTTCTTTTTTAGATATTTGGGAAGTTCTAAATACTTGGGAAAGTATTGAGAACCATATATTGCATAGCTCTTAGTCAGCTATGATGAATAAATTATTAATATTTGCTTAATATTCTCCATACACAAATTATACTCCCTTATCAATCACATTCTCCTGTTGAACATCCTATTTCCTACTAAAAATAACCCCTATGATAAATGTGGTAATATCAGTCTCAGTTTATTACATATGTATCTATGTTAGTATTTTGTTTTTTTTGTTTTGTTTTGTTTTTTGTTTTTTTGTTTTTTTTTTTTGATTTTCGAGACAGGGTTTCTCTGTGGCTTTGGAGCCTGTCCTGGAACTAGCTCTGTAGACCAGGCTGGTCTCGAACTCACAGAGATCCGCCTGCCTCTGCCTCCCAAGTGCTGGGATTAAAGGCATGCGCCACCACCGCCCGGCTAGTATTTTGTTTTTTAAGTGGTAAGTAGGATAGTACCATATGTATGTCCAGGATTTTATTCAAAATTCGGATTTCAAGATATGCATTTATATTTGTTAATTTAAGAAAATTTCATCAGCCATTTCATTTTTGCATGTCCTTTCTCTGGTAGATATCTATTATCATCATTATTGTTATTATTACTGTTATTACAAACAGACAAGTAGTGGTGGCTCACACCTTTAATCTAATACTTGGGAGTCACGTGCCTTTAATCCCAGTACTAGGGAGGTGGAGACAGGAAATGATATGGCTGGGCAAAGGGAGAAATATAAGTCTGGAGGAAACAGGAATTGAAGGCATTCAGTCTGAGGAGTTGTAGACACAGGATACCCCATTTAGTCTGAGAGTTTCATAGAGGTAAGAGCTAGTGGCTGACTGCTCTGCTTCTCTGATCTTTCAGCTTCCACCCCCAAATATCTGACTCCGGGTTCTTTTTATTAAGACCAATTAGAATTCGCATTACACTCACCAGTATAAATAAGTAGGCTTAAAGTAGTAGGTTAAGAATTAAAGGATATTATTCACTAGAATAAATGGTACAGCCCCAGGAAATATCTTCCCTCTGTATTGTTGACCACAGTGAAACAAAAACCTAAGGTGTACATTTTTTGTAGGCAGGAAGAATAATATTGGTTTCTCAAAGTTTTAAGTTTTAACTTAACAAGTTTTTTTTAACTGATTAATCTGTTTTGTTTTGATTATCACCACAATTTATTAGAAAAAATATCACTTTCATAAATCCGTTCTGTTGACCCTGGTTCTTTACAAGTTAAATTCAATTTTCCCAGGAAGCACTTTAATTCTAACATTGTCTTTACTCTGTGAAGTATTTTGGGGTGTAGAGAGAGTTGCTCTTCTTTCTTTCTCTCTCTCTCTCTTTCTCTCTCTCTCTCTCTCTCTCTTTCTTTTTCTTTCTTTTCTCACAAGACAGTGTTTCTCTGTAGCTTTGGAGCCTGTCCTGGAACTAGCTCCTATGGACCAGGCTGGCCTCGAACTCACAGAAATCTGCCTGCCTCTGCCTCCTGAGTGCTGGGATTAAAGGTGTGCGCCACTACCGCCCAGCTTTTTGAGAGGTGCTCTTCTTACTCTAATAAGACTATGTTGTAAGCATAGCATATCACAGTTTTCCTTAAAAAACATTGTGATTAGTTTAACAGAGCTGAAAAAGATTCAATATCAAGATTAATTATCATAAAATCAGAAAGCTATGTCTTAGTTAGGGTTACTATTGCTGTGATGAAACATGATGACCAAAAACAACTTGGAGAGGAAAGAGTTATTTGGCTTAAATTTCCACATCGCTGTTTATCACTGAAGGAAGTCAGGACAGAAACTCAAACAGGGCAGGAACCTGGAGACAGCTGATGCAGAGGCCATGGTGGGGTGCTGCTTACTGGCTTGTTCCTCACACCTTGCTTAGTCAGCTTTCTTACAGAACCCAGGACCACCAGCCCAGGGATAGCACCGTCCATCCTCCCTTATCAGTCACTAATTGGAAAATGTGCTACAGGCTTATACCTGCAGTGCATTATACTTTAAGTGGATGAATGTTGTGCTTTGCATGTATGTCTGTTCATCATGTGTGTGCCTGGTCCTTGTGGGGTCAGAAGAGGACATCAAATCCCCTAAGACCAGGTGTTACAGGCAGCTGTGAGTCACTGTGTGGGTGCTGGGAATTGAACTTGAGTCCTCTGCAAGAGCAGCGAGTGCTCTAAACCGCTAAGCCATCTCTGCAGCCCTTACAGTTTAGTATTATTGTCTAAGTCTTTTTTTGTCAGTTGAGGGTCCCTTCTGTCGGACGATTATAGCTTATGTTAGGTTGGCATAAAACTAGCCAGCACAAGCTATAAATTTAAAGTTGTGTTCAAATCTACATATTGGTTTGCATATGTATTCTGTACAAGTTTATTTTTGCCTTTGTCCTACCGATCCTACCATGAACATCTGCAGTCCAGAATGCTGGGAAGCAGGAAGGACAGGAATGTAGACTAATTCTTGGGTACATAATAAGTTTGAGGCCAGACTGGACTACATGAAATCCTGTCTTGATAAGAAAAAAGAAAAAAAAAAAGAATTACGACTATCAAGGTACCAGCACAGATAATTCAACATATAACATTTTTGATGTCCAACCAAATTTTAAGGTGACTCCTTAAAGTTTTGTAAAAAACTTTATATTATAGAAGAGTTTAAGCATAAAAGTAATAAAGTCTCATGGGCCCTTAATAATTATTTCATTTTTTATTATAAAATTTGAACAGAACTATTTTGTTTAGGTGTGAATTTTCCTATGACAAATAAGTATTCAGATGAGTACATATATTCTTATTGGCTCAGTAACATGAACTCATGGCTGACATCCCTATGACTGAGGCCTGAAGTAAATTTCCCCAACACACATATGTACTGAATCTCTGTCCTGCTAGCCAGCTCCCAAAAAATGACATGGAGACTTCTTATTAATGAAATAATAAGGTTGGCCCATAGCTTAGGCTTATCCCCAAGTAGCTTTTATAACTTAAATTAACCCATTTATATTAATCTATGGTGTTACCTCTTTTCCATATTGCACCTCCTTTTTCCTCGCTGTGTCTCCTGTGTGCCTAGATTCTCCTCTTCTTTCTTTCCCTGGAAATCCCACCTATATCTCCTGCCTAGCTATTGGCCGCTCATCTTTTATCATCTTTTATTACACCAATCAAAGCAAATACTTCTTCACACAGTGTACAAATACCCACAACACACACACACACACACAAACACCTTCGCTGCCATACTCTTTACGGCCTTCACTAGACTTAGGCTTTAAACAGCATTTCAGTACTATTATTCTGGGAAATTATCTGAAAGCACAAGTTTAGAAAATGTAGCACTAGACTGAATTGCACACAAATTTATATTATGAAAGCAGAAAGGTGTAGGCAAACTGTCACTTTGTTCAACCTTAGCTAGGAAAGTACATAAATTGGGTGACAGGTTTTTCAGTGATCTTCATATATCCATAAAAACAATAAAGGTTTTTACATTTTCTAATGAGTAGACAAATGCACACATATATTTGCCACAAATAATGAAGATTTCTTCTGTAAACCTAGTTACTTCTTCCTGAATACTTAAAATGATGATAACGCGCTCGACGTACAAACTTAAAATAGGACCTCATTCTGTTACCCTGGGTAGCCTGGAGCTCACAGAGATAGACCCTCTTACTTTTGCCTTCCAAGCACTTGGGTTAAAGGTACACACTACCACACCTGGCCATAGTTTCAGTGACTCCATTAAACTGTGCTTATTATTTCTAAACATAGAGCCTACCTAATTCATCTTTCTAGATCGTTCCCCTTTGGTATACTATTTGAATCAGCCGCTTTCTGTTCTGTTTGATTCCACTAGCAACCCTAACCCCACCTCCACCTTAAACATAAAAATTCTAAAATTTTCAGAAACTATGGAGTTGCTAAGTAAGTTAAAGTGACTGAAGTGACTGTAGTAGTTAATCTTAGACCTCCTAAAACACCCTTTCCTTCTGACTTTCCTAATGAGAGCTACTCGTTGTTTTCTCGCTGCCTTTTGTTAGTTTCTCGGATTTGACTGGGTAGATGGTACATGGGGATACATGGGAAGAGCTGTGTGGTGGGATTAACTATGGTTTTCCTTTGCCTAGTCCTCTGCTCTCAGTGTTCTAGGAAATATGTATTCAGTTGGCACACTCCTAACTACAGTAAAAACAGGAGCATCTCTCAACCAAAGTCCATGTCTCAGTTTAAAGAACTCAGGTATTGTTTAGGAAGTCATAAATTTAGTCTTGTACCTGCTATTATCATTAGCAGCTGATTAACACATGTATGTCATCTGTTGCCAGAAAAAGTTAGTGATAGCCACAACAGTAATATGAGATTCTAGAGAAGGGCAAGTGCCCAGATAGAGACACTAAAGAATTAAACATCAAATATCAGATCAGTATCTGTCTGTCTGTGTGTGTGTGTGTGCCTGTCTGTCTGTCTTCTGTCTCTGGGTGGGTGGGCAATGATGGTGTCTGTGCATGTATGTATGCCTGCTAGTGCATGAGCTTGTAGAGGCCAGAAATCAATGGGAGGTGTCCTTATAACTTTTCATCTTGTTTTTTGAGACAGGATCTCTCTGTGAACCTAGAACTCACTCTTGCCACTAGATTGGCTGACCAGTGAGGCCCCTTTCCCCAGGGTCACACTGGAGTTACAGATGTACTGCCACACTCAGTTTATTAGTGGGTACTGAGGACCCAGACTCAGGTCCTCATGTTTGAGCAGCAAAAACATTAGCTGCTGAGGTGCCTCTCCAGCCTCCGCATATATCCTAGGGCACATATCTTCTGCTTTGTTTATAGTGGTAGTAAGGCATCTCTTAATGATCATTAATACAACTGAAGGCTTATCCAGCTTTCACGATGGGTTAAAATTGATTTTACAGCTAGATATGGTAGCATACACCTGTGCTTACAGCAGTTGAGAAGCTGACATAGGAAGATCTAGAGCTCCAGACTGACCTGGGCTACAACAGTCACTGTCTCAAAAACAATTTTTTTTTTTTTGAGTGTTGACCTTTAAGTGTTGTCAAGGGCGGGACCATTGTACTGGTGTATATAGTGTAGAAAATACTATTATATTTTCTGTTCATGTATATGTACATGTAATTTAATAAAATACTTACCAGTCTTTTTTTTAATTTTTAATTTTTATTTGAGACAGGGTCTGTGTAGTCCTGAGTGCCCTGGAGCTCGATATGTAAACCAGGCTGGACTTGAATTCACAGAAATCCTGCTGTCTCTGCCTCCCAAGTGTTGGGATTAAAATCATGTACCACCATGCCCAGCCTTAATTTGGTAAAATAATAATAACTTGATATAATTTTCCTTGAATTATAAGTAAGATTATAGGCATGATACTGTATTTCACTCTAGGAGTCCATAAAGTATTTTAATGATATAAGGTAAATGACTAAGTTTTAAGAATATTATTTGAAAGAAAACCTCCTTCTCTTTACCTCTTACGCATATTTATGTTATAGGTACCTGCAAGATGTGGCGTTACAGTCCGTGACAGTCTAAAGAAAGCACTGATGATGAGAGGTCTTATCCCAGAGTGCTGTGCTGTTTACAGAATTCAGGATGGGTATGGTTTGTATGTGTTGTGTGATTTTCTTTGTAAAGAAATGAAACATCGAGCTTTGAGTTCGTTTTGTAGTCTTTATCCAAATCCAGGGAATTGAAAATCAACCAGTCCTCAGGGACTGGAGAGATGGCTCAGTGAGAATACTGGCTGTTCTTCCAGAGGACCTGGGTTCAATTTCCAGCACCCACATGGTTGACAGCTCACAGCCAACTGTAACTCCAGTTCCAAGGAATCTAAAACCCTCTTATGATCTCCTCAGGCATGCATGAGGTGCATAGGCTTATATGCAGGCAAAACATCCCTATACGTTAAGAAAGAAGGAAGGAAATATTTTTTACTAAAAGATTTAGAACATCAACTTTAAAAATCGTACTAATACCAGTCTTGAAATCTTGAAGGTCATTGGTCATTTGTGTGGTAACCACAAATGTCTTTTTTAGAGTTTATCATTTTTATAATTTGTGAACTATTAGAACAGTGGTTCTCAACCTATGGGTCATAACCCCTTTAGAAGGTGTAATGACCCTTTTACAGAGGTTGCTTAAGACCATCAGAAAACACAGATATTTACACTACAATTCATAACAGTAACAAAATTACAGTCATGAAGTAAAATTGAAAATAATTTTATGATTGGGGTCACCACAACATGAGAAACTGTATTAAAGGGTCGCACCATTAGGAAGGTTGAGAAGCACTGCTTTAGAATATGATTAGTTTAGATAACGTGTCTTTGTACAGTTCATAGTTCCATTAGAGTCTACCAAAATGAATATTTTGTAGTGAAGCATTTTTCATAAAGTAATATTGTTCTAAGATGTTTATGTTTTGAACCTACATTTTGAGGCATGTTGTTCTTTGAATGCTCTTTTTCTCTGAATTGGTAGATAAAACCATACCTGTGTGTTGGGAAAATAGGAGCTTTTTCATTTGATTGATTTTGGTTTTTTGTAACAGGCTTTTCCTGTATAACCTTAGCTGTTCTCAGCTGTCCTGGAACTTGCCCTGTAGACAAGGCTGGCTGCAAACTCAAAGAGACCTTCTTGTTACTGCCTCCCAAGTGCTGGGATTAAAGGCATGCACCACCACCACCACCCAGCTTTTTGTTGTTGTTGTTTTTTGTTTTGTTTGTTTTTTTTGTTTCGTTTGTTTGTTTTTTAAACCCCAGGAACAATCTGGTTTTGACTGTTGTAGGTTTTTCTGGAACTGACTTAAAAAAAAGAGTGAATATATTTACACTGATCTTGTCTAAGAGTAATACCTTATTAGAGTTAAATTTAAAAATTAACACGGAAGGGTGGTGGTGGCTCAGGCCTTTAATCCCAGCATTCGGGAGGCAGAGGCAGGCGGATCTCTGTGAGTTCGAGACCAGCCTGGTCTACAAGAACTAGTTCCAGGACAGGCTTCAAAACCACAGAGAAATCCGGTCTCAAAAAAAAAAAAAATTAACACTTAAATTTCTAATAATATAAAACCAGAGATCCTAGCTTCCTTAATATTAGCTCCTCCATAACCATGTTCATATCTTCAGCATGATATTTATAAATATTTTGGGATACAATAATTAAGAAAAGGCTGGAGAGATGGCTCAGCAGTTAATAACGCTGGCTGATCTTTTTTTTTAAAATTTATTTATTAAAAATTTCCGCCTCTCCCCATTTCCCTCCCACTCCCTCTCCCTCTCCAGTCCTAAGAGAAGTCAGGGTGCCCTGCCCTGTGGGAAGTCCAAGGCCCTCCCCGCTCTATCCAGGTTTAGGAAGGTGTTCATCCAAACAGACTAGGCTCCCAAAAGCCAGTACATGCAGTAGAATCAAAACCAAGTGCCATTATCATTGGCTTCTCAGTCAGCCCTCAATGTCTGCCACGTTCAGAGAGTCTGGTCTGATCACATGCTCATTCAGTTCCAAAGGTCCTGAATTCTATTCCCAGCAGTCACATGGTGGCTCACAACTGTCTGTAGTGGGATCTGATGCCCTCTTCTGACATAAAGGTGTATGTGCAGATAGAGCACTCCTATACATGAAATTAAATAAATAATCTTTAAAAAGAAATCAAGAATGGTTTTGTCTCCATCTTTTTCAGAGAGAAGAAACCAATTGGCTGGGACACTGATATTTCCTGGCTTACTGGAGAGGAATTGCATGTAGAAGTACTGGAGAATGTCCCACTTACAACACACAACTTTGTATGTACCTTTTCATATTTGAGCTGTCAAAAATGCTCAGTTTCTTTTGACTTTTTTAATTTAGGGAATATGAAATAGAGATAACTAATTTTGAGATTAATAATGTACCTAAGTTCTGTTCTTGAAAATCTTGTGTTTAAATAGCTTTATCTTGTTCTTTATTCTTTATTTGTAAGTTAATAATTTGTAATATATCTCTTGAACAAAAATTAGAGGCTGGAGAGATGGCTCAGTGGTTAGAACATTGACTGCTCTTACAGAAGACCCAAGTTCAACTCCCAGCACCCACATGCGGCTCACAACTATCTGTAATTCCATTTCTAGGGGACCGATATCTTCATACAGATAAACGTGCAGGCAGAATACCAATGTACATAAAATAAAAATAAGTAATTAAAAAACACACTAATGTAAAAGTCTATCTAGTAAAGTGAAAATTTCTGGAGGTCAGCATTTGTATAGATGAGAAGGTAATTGTATGGTTTTCTGTGTACAAAAATGCGTGGTGGTCAGCCCAAAGCTTACTTGTTTTTCTCTTCACTACTTCCCATTCTTCTCTTTTTCTTAAAAGAAAACTGGGGTCCATGCTGTATGATAGTCCTCATTTTTAATTTCCTAATCAGTAGGCCTTGAATGTTAATCTTTTTGAGTACACCTAGCTTTATTCTTATAATGATTGCCTAGTAGCCTATAAAAATCAAATCTGGTATCTTTCCTCTATTAATAAAAAATAATTTTTTATATTTATAAAATACTTTTTACCAGGTTAGACTGTATCTCAACATACGTTTCAGAAGGATAAGGTAAAGGATGGGGAATTAGAGTAGTTGAACTGGTATTGAATTCTTCTTGAGACTTTGTCTTGTGGTTTTTTGTATTTTGGGGTTTTTTTTTTTTGCAAATTTTGTAAAACCTAGCTTAAGCTTCTTACCAGCATGCAACAGCCTCCTAATCACCACCTCCCATTTACCATACATCTTTAGAAGAGCTTAGATTCTAGACTGAGCATAAACAATGGCCCAGAAGGAATAATAGACCTTTCTCGATCAACCTTTATTCACAAAAGTATCTTTACAGACATGTAGTTTGCTTTAAATTCATACTCAAATGCATACCTACTAGTTTTTACCCCTTTGTATGTTCTGCTCTCTTTATTACACACACACACACACACACAAACACACACACGTGTGTATGTGTATGTATGTATGTGTATATAAAATCAACCAGATTAACATAGTATAAATAGTATAATGCATAGTACAACTATGTATAAGTAGCAGAAAGAAAGCACTAGGTAAGCAAATGAAAAATGAAGGATATTAGAAATTCATGACACAGCAGACTGTTAGTGAGTAAAAATTTAGATGGCTGGCTAAAGGTCAGATTTGTGCCTGTACGTATGTGTGAAGTAACGGTAAGCAGTACTAAAGATGCTTAGTTTGGCAATTATTTGCTATCTAAATGAATATCAAAGGAGGTATTTTTTTTAATTTATTTATTTATTAAAGATTTCTGTCTCTTCCCCGCCACCGCCTCCCATTTCCCTCCCCCTCCCCCAATTAAGTCCCCCCACCTCAGCCCGAAAAGCAATCAGGGTTCCCTGTCCTGTGGGAAGTCCAAGGAACCCCCACCTCCATCCAGGTCTAGTAAGTTGAGCATCCAAACTGCCTAGGTTCCCACAAAGCCAGTGCGTGCAGTAGGATCAGAAACCCATTGCCATTGTTCTTGAGTTCTCAGTAGTCCTTATTGTCCGCTATGTTCAGAGAGTCCGGTTTTATCCCAGGCTTTTCCAGACCCCAGGCCAGCTGGCCTTGGTGAGTTCCCAGTAGAACATCCCCATTGTCTCAGTGTGTGGGTGCACCCCTTGCGGTCCTGAGTTCCTTGCTCGTGCTCTCTCTCCTTCTGCTCCTGATTTGGACCTTGAGATTTCAGTCCTGTGCTCCAATGTGGGTCTCTGTCTGTCTCCTTTCATCGCTTGCTGAAGGTTAATATTCAGGAGGATGCCTATATGTTTTTCTTTGGGTTCTCCTTATTTAGCTTCTCTAGGATCACTAATTAAAGGCTCAATGTCCTTGGTTTATGGCTAGAAACCAAATATGAGTGAGTACATCCCATGTTCCTCTTTTTGGGTCTGGCTTACCTCACTCAGGATAGTGTTTTCTATTTCCATCCATTTGCATGCAAAATTCAAGAAGTCCTTGTTTTTTATTGCTGAGTAGTACTCTAATATGTATACATTCCATACTTTCTTCATCCATTCTTCCATAGGAGGTATTTTTCACTTCTGTATAATCACAGACAAATGGAAAAGGAGGAAAACTAGAAACAAACTTTTGCTTTTTTCACATGCTTTCTCAGGTGACAAGGAAACAGACCTCACTATATAAAGGTTTTTGAAAGGCCAGAGTGGATTATGTGTCTATATTTTTTTTAACTGTTCATTAAATAAATTTTTTAAAAGCGTTTTGAGCTGGGTCTGGTGGCACACACCCTTAATCCTAGCACTGGGAGGCTAAGACAGGTAGACCACTGGGAATTCAGGGACAGCCTGGTCCACATAGTAAGTCCCTGTCTCAAAAAGGAAAATAAAGTTTCATAGCAGATGTGATTTTCCATACCTGGAATCCTGGTACTTGGGAGGCAGAAGCAAGAGGCTGGCTGAAAGTTCAAGACCAACTTCTGTCACCAAAACCAATTTAACAGAAAGAAAAGTAATTTGGTGTTAAAATAAAATGTATCATGAACTGTATCATTATATATAATAAAGTATATAAAAATCCTGAGTTATGTTTGAGGTAAGTACTGTTATAGATTCATATATACTGGATCATGATATAAAATTAATTTATTACTTATTGATTGTGGCTTTAAAAAACGAACCAAGATGATTGAAATTATACAACAAAGAATAAAGTCTTCCTTACTATCAACATTCTGAAATAACTATTGTTAAGAGATTTTTTGTTACATATTTTTCTGTTTACTATATAGCACATATATACTTTATATAATTTCTCCCTTTAGGAAGAAAAAAATCCCCTTAATATAGTGCAGTTTCTTTGATCCCTGGTGAACATTAAAAGTCACTGGTTATTTTTCAAGATTTTTGAACATTTATTTAGTTTGCTACATGAAGAAGTTCATCTGAAAGCATAGACTAAAAATAAGTCCACATCAGACATTATTCCAGAGGTGTCTTAAAAAAATATGTTCAAGTTGAGGGGAGAAGTTTCCTTTCTTTCTATTGAAATCTCAGAGCTAAATTTTAAATTAAAAGTTGCTGAATTCAACTATAATATCTCCTTATTACAAACAATTCAGTTCATAATTCTGAGGTCAGATAAAATAATCCCCTTAATAAAATTACAGTGTAGATTTCATGGAGCCACTGATGATTTTTAATAGTTTCTGTTTTGAGCTCTTGGGCAATTGTTTTTATGTTACTAAATATCTTTTAGCCACGATTTCTTGCTTTGTCAACTTTACCATATGCTGGTTGCTGATTCTATTAGGATTAGCTCATTTGCAGCATTATAACCCTCTCTTTCTCCTCTCTTCCATTTTGTTGTTGTTCTGTTTGTTAACTGTGAAAGTTTAAATAAGTATATCTTTGTTTCTTAGACTATTAACACTAGCAGCTATTTTTTTTTACCTTCCCCCTTTATGTGGTAATTAAATGATACCTTTTTGGTTTGTATTCCTCTTTTTACTTTTTTTTATGTGGTTAAGCTTGAGCTCATTTATTCTTTTTAATTCAATTTTTAAATTTTTTTGAGAATTTCATGCATGAGTTCCTTTAAATGTTGCTTGTTGACCTTAGAGGGATAACACACCAGGAGGCTCAATTCTTTTATTTGTTGTATTGTCTTGATTTCTGAGTTTTAAGTTGGATCTAAGGATAAAATAGTATTTCAGATCCCTGGTTTTTAACATTATATTCTGGTATACAATTTTTATGATATAAATTATTTAAAAATTGTTATTTTGAGTAAGAGGGTGCATTGCAAGTATTTAACACCTTTTATGATTTTTCACTTTGCAGGTACGGAAAACTTTTTTCACCTTAGCATTTTGTGACTTTTGTCGAAAGCTGCTTTTCCAGGGTTTCCGCTGTCAAACATGTGGCTATAAGTTTCACCAGCGTTGTAGTACAGAGGTTCCACTGATGTGTGTTAATTATGACCAACTTGAGTAAGTAATCCACAAAGAACCTCTTTGCTACTACTTTATAGTTAAATTTTCATAATGTGAAACTAGTATACCTTGAAAGTCAGTGAGGGGTGTTTGCCCATTGCATTTGTTACAGGATGTTTAAAGTCTGATCAGAAAGTAGTGCAGGTGACTCTCCTCTCCCAAATACAAGAATACTGGATCTGCTGCACATGAAGTCTACATATCATGCTCTCTTAAGTCTTTAGAAACCCTTTTTAGCCAGGCGGTGGTGGCGCACGCCTTTAATCTCAGCACTCAGGAGGCAGAGGCAGGCAGATCTCTGTGAGGTAGAGATCAAGCTGGTCTACAAAAGCTAGCTCCAGGATATCTAGGGATGTTAGAGAAACCCTGTCTCGAAAAAAACAAAAAAAGGTGGTGGGGGGAGGAGAAATCACTTTTATATAGTTTGGGGTGGATATAGAATAGTGTTTCAGTTAAGTTGACTGTTGCATTTTTTAACAATGAGTCTGATTCTGTGGTCCATTTTAACAGTTACATTAATATTCTTCACCTCAGCCATGTCTGTTTCACGTCTAGTCCTTTTCCCTTTCTTTAAAGGAATAATTATGTACATTTGTTTCTTTCTAAAATTCCTTTTTACTTTATAGTATGTCTAATAGACTAGATGTAGTCTATTGTAATCTGTTCTATAATTCCTTTTGTTGCTGCTGAAATAGAACTTGACTTTTAAGTAAATTTTAGTGATGTATCCAACTTAGCTACTCAGTAGGCAGATGCAGATGGATCTCTGTAAGTTCAAGGCCAGTTTGATCTACACAGTGAGTTCCAGGGCTACACAATGAATCCATCTCAGAAAACAAACATACAAAAAACCAAAAAGGGTAATCTAATTTTACCACTAGATATTTTCTTTTAGTCTTTAAACCACACAGTATGATTTCCCCCTGTAATATATAGAAATTGACAGTTGGTCAGTTATAGAAAAGAACAATTAGTTTTAGATATGAGCTACCCTAGAAAGTACAATGTAATTTTTTTTAAAAAAATCTTTAGAAAAAATACTTAATTAATTGAATTTTAACAGTTGTTTGCACAAGTAAAACTTGATCTCACATTTTTCCATTACCTCTGTGTTCTCGTGTATTGAAGCTTCTGGGTTTTGCACAAGTTAGGTTTGTTTTGTTTTGTTTTGTTTTTGCCTCACAGTTTGCTGTTTGTCTCCAAGTTCTTTGAGCATCACCCAGTACCACAGGAGGAGGCCTCCTTAGCAGAGACTACTCTTACATCTGGATCCCCTTCCGCACCCCCTTCAGACTCTACTGGGTATGATTTGCTTCCTACTGTTTAATGACATGCTATTTGAACTGCCTTCCTTTGGATCTTTTGGGTAATTGTAAACCTTTTCAACACTAGAACTGTTAAATTATGGATATTTGAGGCTGGAGAGATGGCCCAGAGTTTAAGAGCACTGACTGCTCTTCCAGAGGTCTTGAGTTCAATTCCCAGCAACTACATGGTGGCTCACAACTATCTGTAATGAGATATGGTGCCCTCTTCTGGCCTGCAGGCATGGAGGCTGAACACTGTGTACATAATAAATAAATAAATCTTTAAAAAAATGGATATTTTCACCCAATAATGTATTTTATCACAATATTCAAGCGTTTACATGCATTTTGTTCAGAATGGGATTAAAAACATAGTATGGTGGTTATGCCTTTAATCTTGGCACTGATGAGGCAAAAGCAGGCAGATCTCTGTGAGTTGGAGGCTGGCCTCATCTACACAGTAAATTATTACCTTGAAAACCAAAACAGCCTATATGGCTGACTACTGTGGCTGCTTTGCACTGATCTTCAGGTTAGCTTTATTTATTAACACACAAATACTGTACCACTAATTTCCCTTTTTTTGTCTAAAGTAAGAAGGCTAAAACATAAGAAAAACTATATACAATAAGTACAATGACTATATACAGTATATACAGGCAGTAAATACATCAGCAATGTCTATTCCATTTGCATTTGACAAATTCAGAGAAAAGACTCCATATCTATCCTATCTTGGTGAGTCCAAAGTCTTGTACATAGTTTATTTTCTATCATAAGTTGTTTTCTGCATCAAGCAAGGAAAGCAAGGAAAACTATTAACTATCTAGTCTTCACCTCCCTCAGAGCCCCAAGAAGGAAATAATATTAGCTGAGTAAGCAGGAAGTGCACGCAAGCAACTTCCAAAAAATGTGAGAAATAACAGAAACAGCTGACTGCCTGGACAGTCACACAAAGTTTCTCTGCAATGGTGGGGCATCCATCTTCGGCCTGCAGACCTAGCATGTTCAACAGACTTTTCTGTGAAGCAGGATATTCTGAAAGGCTGTCCCTCCTTGTCTAGACAATGTTTGTCAGTCTTTTTTGTTCCTGCTTGTCCAATTACAACAACATACTGTCAGCAGTAAAGGCAAGGGCATTTTCTTGCCCAGTGACTTACTTTGCCACAAAGAAAGAAAACTGCATGTGGAGTTTCTTCAATTTCCATTATCTTCTCTGAAGTAGATTGGTGCTACCAGGAGCAAACATGTCTCATGGTCATTTAAAAAAAAAGCTTATGTTATTAGAACATCTTAAATGCCATATTCTGTAGATCTCTGAAGTGTTTGAAGATGACCTGGTTACCTAAAATATATCTTTGTTTGACCTTGAAAACATACCTACAAGTTTGATTATACTAGGTGATTAATTAGTAACCTGTATTTCCTTATTATCCTTAGTTGGTATTAATAATTTTCAAGGACTAGAAATTTGCATTACATTGTTAAATGAGTTGTATAGGTACAATACCTTGAAACCTTGAACTGTAGAAATGTATATATAGTATGTTCTAACAAAATTAATCTCAAAATTGTGTCAATATACAAAATTTGTATATGATATACAAAATCCAATCCAATGTAAAGCATTTAAAACTAGTAGTTGCATTTTAAAGGTAGATTCAACAATCTACCTTTTTATCTTATATCTATATCCTCCTGTTTTTCTTTTCAGAATAGAGTCAATAATCTACCCTTTCATCTTATCATATCTATATCCTCCTTTTCTCTTTTCAAAACAAGACCCTTGAATCTACATTTATGTTTTTTCCTGAACATTACCAATAACAACTTGTAACCAACCCCCTAAACAGTGAGAAATATACATAACCCATTAAACAACCAAAAACCACCCACCCCACCTCTTGGAAATGTGGGCGTCATCCTTAAATTTACTTCCTGCTGTCTGGAACCTGTAGGGGTTCCTGGAAAGAAAAATTGGAGTTAATTGTCAAGTCTTAGGAGAAGTAGCCGTATCATTTGTTGTCCAGTTTCTATGTAATGGAAAAGTGCAGGACTTATCTCAAGTTTTGGCTACAGCAATTTGGCTGGATCATCTTAGCTAGTCACCTCAAAATTGTTCTGAGCAGTTTTTAGATGAAGGCTGATCTTTATGTGATGTTTTTTAGCTTAGTGATGTTATCATAGTCTTTGATGAATTTGTAGGGCCTTATCCTCCTATGGAGACTTCAAAGGTCACTGCAGAAAACTAGAGACTCAAACCTGAAATCATGTAAAGGAAGGTAGATGAAACTGTTTCTAGAATTACTTAGTACTCTGTATGACCATTAATATCTGCAGGAGCCTGCTCCTACAAAGTCAGCTAAGGTTCCTGGAGAGGGGATCCTCAAGACCAAAGAAACTTCAGATGAAAGAACTGAGATAGAAGCTGGAGGTTTGTCTGGTCTTTAATTGCTCTGGAAGGAGTTTCCTCTAGATAGTAGGAAACTGGATTTGGCACAGGGGCCTGCAAGAGGCCCCTCATGGAGTTTCCCTGAACTGATTACCTTGGATATCCCTTCTTCCCTTCTTGATCTACTTTCATTAGTCCAGTGCCTGTCTTACCACACCTGCATAATCCAGAAGGGAAGGGCGTTATGAATGCTTACCAAAAACATGTTTCTAGGAATGCCTTGTCTACAATCCTTTTTAAGGTGACCTTGGATGCCACAATTGTAACACTTGACCAGTTCAGATTTTCTGCAAACCTCTGGAAATTGCCTCTCCTATCCAAGTATCATCATGGTCATGAGAGTCAATGTTAATTGTATCTTGAATCCATTCCTAAAAGGGGCTATCTTGCTATTAATGGCCTAATTATCCATTTGCTTTGAGAATTAGCATTTTCAAAAGCCAGAGATTCAATTATTATTAGTTTAGCTTCTGAGTTTGGTATCATTCTCTTTACTGCTGATGTCAATCTTTCTAAGAACTCCATGAAGGTTTTGTTTGGGCCCTTTATAACTTTAGTAACTATAACTCAGGTTTTTTTCCTATTTCTCCAGTTCTTGTCCCAAACATTTAAAGCTGCTGTGTGGCATAAATCTAGGGTGTAGTCATATACAGATTGTCTTTCTATAGTAGCATAATTTCCTTTTCTAAGAATTTGATTTTGGGGATTTCCATACCCCTAGCTTTACTCCATTGTTCCTCTCTATTCTTATATTCTTATAATGCAACACTGAACTTGTTCCCCCATTAAATTCCTGCCTGTACTTGAATATCTCTGTGATGTGTTTTATTAAGTTTTTCTAAGGCCTGTATCTTAGCCCTCAGATTAACCAACTTTTTTAGTTATACAACAAAAATGATAATGCTGATAATGTTTACAACTGATATTATATAAATCCCATCTAAATTAGTTATCCTCATTTAATCATTTCATTTTCAAACTGTCCAGCAGACATATTATACAGAGACCCAAATCCCCCCATTATAATGGTTTTTCCCATTTTTAATGTAGTTTTAAAAAAAAAACCTTTTAACTAATTCTTCCCTTTAATAATTTCTAATTATCTTTCCAAATCTGCCTATGATCTTTTTGAAGATGTGTGGCTTATTGCTACTTTGTAGATCAGTAAATGCCTGACTAGTTTTCAAGGCATTTACCTAATTTGGTTACAGCCCGATAAAGGGGTTCATGGAGAACATGCCAGGAGAGAGGGGGGAAAAAAAAACCTAGTCAGTAGGGCAGTGACTCCAGTTGTGTGTAGCTCTGGCCTATGCTAATGGCTGTAAAGCCACAGGCAAAAAGCTTTTTTATGAATTCATACGCCAAACATTGGGCACCAATTGTAACATGAAATAATAAAAACCCAGAGACAGATATTGAGGTTCAACCTGAAGATGAGAAAAGCAAAGCAGCCAGCCACTGGCTCTTACTTCTACCTCAGACCAAAAATGGGTGATCCTGCCTCCACAAATTCTCAGATTGAGACTGAGAGTGAGCCCTATCTCCTCCATTTTATATTTTTCCCCAGTTCTGGGATTAATGGCATGTACCACCACCACCTGGCTTGTATGACTGACTAGTGTGGCTAATCTTCAGGCAAGCTTTATTTATTAAAACACAAATAATATCCCACTATACTGCAGTATAGGTTTTTGAAGCTACCCTTCCTAAGGTCTCACAGGTCAAAAAAAATATCAAAATAAATTATATTTCCAAGAGTAATGGCTCATTACTATAATATCAGTACTTGGGAGGCTGAGGCAGGAGGATTACCATGAATTTGAGGTCAGCCTAGGCTAGAGCAAGTCCTAGCCTCTAAAAGAAATTAGAGAATAGGTATGTAGCTCAGTCAGTAGAGCCTTTGCCTAACATGTACGTATGAAGCCTTGAATTTTATTCTCAGCACCACATATACTAGACATGCTTGTTGCTAAAATCTCAGCACTTGAGGATAGGAGGAGGAGAATCAGAAGTTCATTATCATCTTCAGGAAGTGTTAGTCAGCCTAAGACATATGAGACCATCTTTCAAAAAGGTAGGGATGGAGGCTGGAGAGTTAGCTCAGCAGTTAAGCTGTGCAAGAATGAAGACCAGAATTCAGATCCTATTACCGTCATAACAGCCCACGCACGGTTCCATGCACACCTGCAATGCTAGCAGCAAAGGGGGTAGAGACAGGAGGATTGATGGGACTGGATGGCTTGCAATCTAGTTGAAAGGGTTCAAGTTCTAAATCAAAAAATAAGGCAGAGAGCAATAAAGCCACCTAATGGCCTCTTTTGGGTTCTGGCATGCATACAGTATCACAGAGGGGGGGGAGGAGTGTTGGGGATTTATGTGAGGTAAGATGACTCCTCAATAGGTAAAAGTACTTGCCATAAAAGCATGACAATGTAAAATTGACAAAGTCCAAATATGGTGGTATTCCCAGCGCTCTTACAGCAGAATGGAGATAGAAGCAAGAACATCAGCAGAAGTCTACACAACACAGAACTAATAACAGGAGATCTTGCCTCAAAAGTAGGAAGAGAATTGGCAAAAAAAAATTCCTCTTGCCTGTGTGTGTGCACCATGGCCTGTGGTCACCTGCGAATACACATGCAATAATTATAAGTTTTAAATATAAAACAGAATTCTATTTAAATAGTATATTATCTTTTTATGTCACTTGTAAATACAACCACTATGTAATTTAATCAGATTGTAACAGTTATATCTGTTGGGTCTATTATTAGTTGTATGTTTTTGTAGACAATTGAAACAAAATAATGTTGTTTGGGATTTTGATTAATCTCTTGACTATGGCAATTTCTCCAAACAGAGTCTATAGATCTGTGATGCTTTTCTAATGGCAGATCCCAGTTTTGTGATCAGAGTTGTAGAATATCGTTATATTAGCTTGTCCTCTCTGAATGGGTCATAATGGTAACAAAAGAGTTTGTCTTTCAGTAAAGGAATGCTGTTTTAAAATTGCCTCTGCCACATGTGTTTTTGTCTTAACTAGAGTGAAATGGATTCTGCAAACTTCTCTACAAGTTAATTTCATAATGCTTTTATGTTAGTGTGTAAAATTACTTTTGTAAAGGTAGAAACCAAATGTATTTGGGTTCTCTAGGGGAACAGAACTTATAAAATGAACTCTGTGTATGTGTGTGTGTGTATGTAGATATGTTTATATAGATGGAATTTAACGTGTGTGTGTGTGTGTGTGTGTGTGTGTGTGTGTGTGTGTGTATTAGAATGCCTTTACAGGCTGTGGTCCAGCTAGTCCAACATTGGCTGTCTACTCATGGAAGGTCCAACAATCAAGTGGTTGTTCAGTCTAGATGTCTCAGCTGGTCTTCAATATATGACTTCTGAATCCTGAAGAAGTAGGTTCTAATGCCAGTGAAGGAATATACTTACTAATGGGCAGGAGCAAGCAAGCAGTCAAAGAGCAAGCAGGCCTCCTCCTTCTGTGTCCTGTTATATAGGCTGGCAGCAGAAGGTGTGGCCCAGATTAAAGGTGGATCTTCCTACCTCAAAGATCCAGATTAAAAGTGGATCTTCATACTTCAAATAGTTTAATTAAGAAAACAATTCCACACAGGTATGTCCAGATGCTTGGGTTTTAGTTAATTACAGATACAGTCAAGTTGACAATCAAGGGTAGACATCATATGAAAAAAATTAATTATAATAGTCCTGAAACAAGTATGGGTATAACAAGGAATTTTGAAAAGTTAATATATTGCTCAGTTTTGAATACATGTAACAGATTACTTCCTTTTTGTATATCAGTAAACAGAAACAGTCACTTTGCTTCAAAAATTTTACATAGTCTAACCTAAAACTGAAATCTAAACTATTAGTAGTTTTCTAAAGAGTGTAGAATTCTGTTTAATTTTAATTTTTAATTTTAAAAGGGTTTGTGGCAGATTTATTTGTTAGGTATACAGTGTTTAGGCCAGAAAGGGCATCATATCTCATATAGATGGTTGTAAGCCAATATGTAGTTGCTGGGAACTGAACTCAGAACCTCTGGAAGAATAGCCTTTACTCTTAACCTCTGAGCCATCTCTCCAGCCCTACTTTTTTCTTAAAAATGTATTAGATTAATATGTGTGGGTGTATATGCGCACGCTGAGGCCTTGTGTGAAAGTCAGAAGACAGCTGTGAGGAATTAGGTCTCCTTCCACGTTATAGGTCCCAGGGATCAATTCGTGTCATTAGGCTTGGTAACAAGCACTTTTTATCCACTGAGTGATTTCACTGGCTCCTCCTTTTCTATTTTCTTATCATTCTTTTCTAATTCCCCTTGTTGACCATCTTTTTGTTATTTTAACATTGTCTTTCTAGTCTAATAATGTTTAAATAAAGCTGGTTAGTTTTTATAATAGAGCATAAAATGGTGACCAGTATGTGAAGAGTGTGGTCTTTGTTGGACCATCCATGGTCCAGTTGAAATTTAGTCAGAGCTTCATTGTATCCTCTCCCAAGTAGTAGTCACTTCCGTACTCCTGAGAATCTTTATAACTATTTATACTCTAGTTTCAAATTCTCATGTGCTTCCTGCCAGGCTCTTTTAGGCCAGCAGCCATGATTCTATTATCAATGGCCAAAAGAGGAAAAAAAAATAGGTCACTCTGTAACCTACTAGAGTATTTTAATCAAAATAATTTTAGGGCTGGTAAGAGGGCTCAGTAGCTAAAATGCCTGCCATGCAAGCTTGAGGACTTGAGTTTGGATTCCTATTGCCCACATAGAAAGCCAGGCTGTGGCTGTCTAAACCTGTGACCCCAGTGCTAAGAAGACAGAGACAGGAAGATTTGCAGGGGGTTGTTGACCAACCAGTCTAACCAATTGTAGGTTCTGGATTCAATGAAAAAAGACTTTGTCTCAAAAAAAAAAAAAAAAAAAGGTAGACAGCTGACACCAGTCTTGGCTTCCCTGTGCACCTCCAAACCACACATCCAAATTTTTTTGTTTTAATATTTGCTTCAGTGTTTAATACTACATGACTTTTTTGTCTCTGATGTTAATAGTTAAACTTGAAAAACCATTTTGAATATGAAATATAATTGGTACTATTCATATTACCTTCTGAAATTTTAGAAATGATCTTTATTATGATATTGTAGAAATTTCGTTCAACACTGGTATTAAGCAGCAGTTATGTCTTTGGGGTCCTGAAACATGCAGGTATATTCTTGAAACTTTGTAACTTCTTAAGTATTTCCTTAAATTTTTCATTTGAGTAACTTCAGATTATGAGAAATAGTATATAAACACAGCATATTTTATTCAGTTAGTCTCTGCTTGGAGCATTTTACTTCTATGTATAACTTTAAAGGATAAGATTTACCATTTACAGATTCCTCTGAAGTTTTCTGGATCAGAATCATTGTTCTTACATCATTGATAGTCCCTGGGAAGTTTGCTTTTTGAGCAAAGCTTTAGCAGTATTAGTTGTAGTTAGTTTTTTAAACTAGTGCTTTTTTAAACCATTACTAGTGGAATTTAAATTATTTAAAGATTATATTAAATATATAGATCTTATAACTTTTATTGTAAGTTATTATTTATACAGTTGCTCCAAATCTTACTTTCCAATGACTTGATTTTTTCAGGCCCCAAATCCTCACCAGTCCATCTCCTTCAAAATCCATTCCAATTCCACAGCCCTTTCGACCAGCAGATGAAGATCATCGAAATCAGTTTGGGCAGCGAGACCGGTCCTCTTCAGCTCCCAATGTTCATATAAACACAATCGAACCTGTCAATATTGATGTAAGTACTAGCATTGCTAGAACTACACAATTCAGGTGTATTTCTTTGTTTTTCTGTTATATTTTTAATACAGATTGGAAATAAATGCCACCTTTCATTTATCATTTAAATGCTAGGTATATATGAATTATAGATTCAGAAACCCTGTCATCTTCTATGACAATATTAAATACATCACTATTGCCAAGTTAGTTATATTCATTTTTTTCTAACACAATCTCTAAAAAAGTTTTAAAATAAAATGATTTGAATATGAGAATTATTAGAAGCACTTTTGTGAATTTATGAAGTCCTCTCTTAAGATTTTTGTACAATTATTATTGTGTTATAAAAATGACATTAAGAATTTATTTGTTTTGTCATGAGTTTGGCATTATAACCAACAAAAGCAATTCTACATTCATATTTTAAATCATATAGTTGGAACTATAACTTAAATTTTATTAATGAAATACCTTGTTAGAAATTTAATTATCACGATAAATCATGAGTAAAGAATTCTAAAATCAGACTTTCTTCTTACTTTTTATTATGTTTTCCCCCCTATATATTTAGGAGAGTAAGTTAACTTAAGTGGTTTTTTTCCTAGTACCATTCTTAACTAAGGCCATCTTGTCTATATGTTGACCTAAATACAGAAGAAGTGAGAAGTAGGAGAGGAAGATAGAGAATAAGGAGCTTGGGAAATAAAATGTCAAAGGATATTTGTAGATTAGGGGTATTCTTGGTGTGCTCAAGCTTGTAATCATCATATGTATTTGAAAACAAACATCTTTTTTTCCTTTTTTTTCTGATTGTGATTGACCTCCTGGATTCTTGGGCTTGGCTATTTGAAGACTCACTTCCCATCTTACTCTTTCATCCTTTTCATAACTGCCATAAGTAACATAGTCCATTTTCCTCTTTATGTGTGTCCATTTGACTCCATGATCCTTTATTTGAACAATTTACTGCATTTATTCCTAGCATTAATTTTTCTTCATGTCCTTCCTGGTGCTCTCACTAGGATAATTTTTTTTTAAAGATTTATTTATTATGTATACACTGTACTGTCTGTATATATGCTTGCTGACCAGAAGGGGCACCAGATTTCATTATAGATGGTGTGAGCTACCATGTGGTTGCTGGGAATTGAACTCAGGACCTCTGGAAGAGCAGGCAGTGCTCTTAACCTCTGAGCCATCTCTCCAGCCCCTAGGATAATTTTTTAATGACATTTTTATCATCTATTCTCTTGTTTGAAAGCTTTTAGTAACTTAAAATTTTTATTCATTCTCAGTGACTTTTTCTCTGAGAAAAAAAGACTTTTGGCTCTGGACTCAGCAATTAGGGATTTAAGATGAATTAACACACCATCTTTGCCCTCTATGATGTCACAGTTTATTGCATGAATCAAACATGCAAATAATCATAAAAAATATGCTAGTTTACAGAAGGGGTGTGATGAACTCTATCTGATTGGATGTAGGTATATTTAGCAGTAAAGGGATGACCTTGAAGCTATACCGCAGAAGGTAAATGGCTAGGGATTTATTAAGTATACTATATAGGGAAATTTTTTAAGGTATTTGTTAAGGAAATAATACATACAAGGTTGTAGAGTTACCTTTACCTGGAAGGAATTAATAGTTGATATCTTAGGAGTTCAGGGTTCAGGAGAGGGCTGACAAATAATGGAAGGAGAAAGTAGGAAATGTCAACACTGATTGATATCTTATATTTCTCTTAAGTAGTGGTAGGAGTGCTGAAACACATTTGGAGGGGACTACAACTCACTATGTAGCCCTAAGTGGTCTTGAACTTGCTTCCTCCCTCATCATCTTGAGTAGTAGGTTTATAAGTATGGTGGAATACCACATCTGACCAAAAACACATTTTGAGTGTGATAAATCATCTCAGTATTTCAGAAAAATCTTTAGTAGTAGTCAGGAAGGTGGATCAAATGGGTAGCATATGTTAAGGGCAGAACTGTCAACAGTGTGGCTTTTGCTGTATTCTAGTCAAGATATGATAAATGTTTGAACTCAAGTAGTAGCATTAGTGGTGAGAGAGGAGCAAATGAGTTGAGGGAGAGGAGACTATGGTGGTAGGGGTCTTAGAAGTCATGGAAATGGCTGAGTACTTACTGTGTGTGAGGTACTCTGCTAATTGCTTTATATAAGTTTTCTTGGTCAAGCCTCATGAGAAACATTGTGTTTATCTTATTCTGAAGGATATTCAGTTTATAAGAGTCTAAGAAACCAACCCATGATCATATAGCTAATAAATGACTGAAATGTATTTAAGTCATTTAAACCTGGCTTTCTTTTCTTGAACTTATCCACTATATATCAGTAGAGGAGAAAGATTAAAGAGAAGCAGAAGATAACAGTTGACTTTTTGGCATATAGATACTTGGCTATAAACCAGGACAGGGTTTATAGAAAAATTACAGTTTTGTATTTTATCCAGGCTTTAGGATATCTGTGGGAATATTAGGACCTCCAGTGGAGATACAACTTGAATAAAATCAGTGTGTCTGTGTCAATCAGAGCCATGAGTATAAATTATGTTACTCAAAGAATATATAAATTGGAAAGAGTAGAAAATATAAACCTGAAGAGAAAAAGAAAACATATCCTAGTGAATCTTAACATTGTAACAGAGACCATTTCTCAGTTAACCTTTGTGAGCTCTTTCCAAGTGTACATCAGATACCAAGCAAATGGCTTCAAAAATGCTGATGGAGGCAGTTAAGAGCACTGGCTGCTCTTCCAGAGGTCCAGAGTTCAATTCCCAGCAACCACACTGTGTCTCACAACCATCTCTGGTGGTATCTGGTGACTGCTTCTGACATAAAGGTGTATACTCATACATAAAATAAATAAATCTTATTTTAAAAATTGCTGATGGAGAGGATGCCACTTACTCTTAAGATTCAAATGAGATAAGGACTAAAATGAGTTTGTTTTTAACAAATACCATGGAACTACGTGACTGATAAGACGTTCCAGCTGATAAAAAATACCTGCTACATACCAGGTGGTGGTGACACGTGCCTTTAATCCCAGCACTCATATGAATCTCTGCGAGTTAGAAGCCAACATAGTCTACAGACCTAGTTCCAGGACGGCCAAGCTATACAAACAAACCCTTGTCTTAAAAGAAAAGGGAAAAAAGTACCTACAGTAGAGGGAGAGACCTAACTCCAGCAAGTTGGCTTCTGACTTCCACACAAACTGTGGCACATGTTCATGTACACACACACACAGACACACACACACACACACACACACACACACTCTAACATGTATGCCTTGGGCTCAGTCCCTCAGGACCAACCATTAATTTTTAAGTCTTTGGGGCCAGGTGTGGTGGTGCTCACCTTAATCCCAGTACTCAAAGGAAGCAGATTTTCTAAGTTTGTGGCCAGCCTAGTCTACATAACAGGTTCTAGGCCAGTGAGAGATCATAACTCAAACAAATCAGCAACTAAATAGAAAATTTTAAGTTGTTTTGATTTCAAAGATAAATAGAATAGGAGGAGGCAAGAGAGGAAATGGATCGTCAGTTTTGAGAAACTTGACTGTATAGGAATGACAAAAGAGCTGGAGCTTGACTCATACTTGAGTAACAGATGTTTTGAAACTAAGATTTCAGCAAATTTTATAACTGAGAAAAAGAACCTAATGAAGAGAGGTTGAGGTAGTAAGTAGAGAATTTTTGATAAATTTCTTTGAACTTGAAAATGGTGTCTTGCAGGGGCTATAATAAATTAAAGGTAGATAATCTTTCTACACACTGCATGAAATAGGGCATTTTTTTAAACCCTGGGGCTGGTATTAATTTGATTTTTTTTTTTTCTTATTTTGCTTCATTTTGTTTGAGAAGTAGCCCTGGCTGGCCTGGAACTTCTATGTAAATCAGTCTGGTCTCAAATGCAGAGATAACTCCGCTTCTGCCTCCTGAGTGCTAGGCTTAAGATGTGCACCACCATGTTCAGCACTTGATATGTTGGGGGTTTTAAGGGCGGATACAGTACATGTCTTATTCAAAGACACGTAACCAGAGCAACTCTTACCAAAGAAAGCACTTTATTGGGAGCTCACTTACAGTTCCAGAGGTTTGGCCCATTATCCTCATTGTGGGGAGCATTGTGGCATGCACGCAGATTCTGAAGCAGTAGTTGAGTTTTACATCTGATATACAGGCAGACTGACTGACTGGGTCTGGCAGTGGCTTTTGAAACCTCAAGGTGCACCTCCAGTGACATACTTCCTTCAACAAGGCCAGACCTACTCCAGCCTAATCCTTTCAAACAATTAACAGTCCCTGGTGACTAAGCATTCAAACCTATGAGCCTGTGGGGGCCATTCTTATTCAAACCTCCACAGTACATAAAAGGAATTTAAAAGACAGCCAGGCATTGTGGTGCACACCTGAAGTCTTGGCACTGGGAGGTAGAGGTGAGAGGATCTGGAGTTGGAGGCCAGCCTGTGCTGTATCATACCTTGGAGAGGGAAGAAAAGAGAGAGCTATAACTTTAGAAGTTATAGCTGATATTACTGTACAAATGTTCATAGATAGCAAAGGTATTGCCAGAATCTCAGTTTGCTTCTTTTGTGATGCTGAATCAGAGGAATGTGAGACAAGGGACTAGAAGAAATTAGGGGGACAGTTGAAACAGTAGTTGCAGAATACTCGAGTACCCTATTTAACTTAGATAAGTAGATAGATTCACGAGGAGCTTTTAAGAGCACAAGTGAGATTGAAAAGTGTGAGCTTAGGTTGGGCCTGGTAGTTTTTCTAAGAGACCGTAGGTATACGAAGTTTCAGAGCTAGTGTAGGTAAACAGAGAAGGGGTGGGTCCTTCTATCTAGGAAGCCCTTTGCTTTTTTTCATGCCAGTCTATTCCTCAGATTTCTTCGACTGCTTCGCCAATGCCAAAATCCTAGTGCCATTTCTTTTACATCATGGTCACCAGTTCTTATAGACATGGAGACTGGAAGCCCAGTATCAGGATTGCCAAATCATCTTAGTCTTAATGTCTATCAGTAAAAGTCTTGTCAACACCACCACTTAAATGGTAGTGAATTGGCAACAAACTGATCTCTCTTTTAGTCTTAAGCTGTCATTTATTTTCCATGTGTCTGCATCTCACAGTGTGTTTGTAAGCTCTTAAAAACACCAAGATTTTTATGTAATAGTAGCTAGACAACCCCAACACCTAGGTCATTGTTTGAAATTGAGTATTAATTATTCTGTAGACAGTGTTGAAAGTTTTGTGTAGTACATCGAACATGATAGAAATATACCAGTAGAGAATTTACTTTTACTCAGTAAGTCTAATTGCAAATGATGCCTATTTGCAAATAACCTTTTTAGAGACATTTGGACCCATTCAGTCCCTCACACTTAAGTTAAACTCAGTAAACGAATCCAAGTTCCAAGGAATAGGATCCAAATTTCATTACATATGAAATTTCCCCTACTACCAACATTGTTGTAAAAGTCGTGTTTTAAATAATAGAGACCAATTTAAACAAAATCCTTATTTGAGCTATTTTGAGTCCCACCTCCTTTTTAATGTTGTACATGCACATTTTTATGATAGTATTAAATGTACTTTTGATTTTGTATTTTTTATTATATGTAACATGTTTCATATTTAAGTTTTTTAATTGTTTTGATAACTGCATACTAATTAAATTGATACATCATAACCATAATATGTCAAAATGCCTATCATAGGAAAATAATTATTTCTGGTTTTTGGTGTGATGGATAATGCTGCACTAAACATCTTTGTGCATATCATTTTTTCTTCTGAATTATTTCCTTAGGAAAAATTCCCAGAAGTGGAATTACAGGATCAAAGGGTATGAACATTTTTATGGCTCTTAATATGTGCCAGTAGAATTTTCTTTAAGAATTGATGAAGCCATTGAGTGGCCCGAAATGGATTTCAGCATTTGATCGGAACTAATAATCCTTTCACATAGGGCTAGGCTGGCAAGTGCTTCAAACTTTAGTGTTTATCATGTACACTAGCTAATTTCATAGCCTTTGTTTTGTGAAATAATTATAAGACAGGTATTGTTTTGAATTAACCCATCTGCTAATGCATAGTGAAAAATTCATTTGTTATTCCTTTTTTACTGTGTGCTTTAAATAAATGTATTTTACTATTTGTTTGTAGGATTTGATTAGAGACCAGGGGTTTCGTGGTGATGGAGGTAAGTAGTGATTTTAGTCTATTTTTTTAAAGGCAAAAATGCAATTGCTTTGCTGCTTGTCTCCTTTATAGTTGCTTTTTTTCATGAAACAGACACAGAGAAAAATGTGTAGAGAAAATCAAATGGGTTTTTGTTTTGTTTTTTTTTTGTAGCAATTACCATTTACTGCTAGCAGAATTTAAAATTATTCATAACATGTAGAGAAAATGAGACAACATAAAAGAAAATCTTAAATGTACCATCTACAATTTTAAAATACACTATTTAATTTCTGCTGCCTCCAAATCTGGAGTTGCTAAATTTCTTTTGGCCTCCACCCAATACTTCGAGATGCTTATAATCAGATGAAATTATTGTAAATCTCTTTGGGGTTGCCTGGCACATCATTTCAGTTTGTCAGACTTCATCAAACATTTCTCATCAACTTTCTAAAACTATTTAAAATGTACATTTAATTAATGGAATGAACCATAATGGAAAAATTCAGTTATCCTTTTGGTATAGTAAAAAAAATATACACATGAGAAATTTCATTAGGATTTCTTAATGTTATTCTAGATGGGATTTCCATCTAGCCTCCCCTCTAGTGAAGATAATACTATTTAAGAAAATGGTTTTTTGAGCCAAGTGTGATGATAGCATAAGCCTGTGATTCTAGCTGAGGCTATAGGAATGTGAGTTTGACACTAGCCTAAGTCTACATAGCAAGACTGTCTCAAAAAAACAAAACAAGAAAACTCTGTAATAATGTACGCCATATATTTGCTAAGAGATGGCATTTGAGACTGTCTTGAAGTTTTCTTGTGAGAGGTCTTCTGTCTTATAAGGAAGACCATATTAGCTGTACATTATGCCTAGAGCCGGGTTCTTCACTCTGATCTTCCTTATCTTCAAAATAGGTCCAAACCCAGACTCAATATTTTATACTGAGTAAATACGATATAAGCCATATATTGTTATGGTGCTGTCCGCCTGTGAGGATATCAAATAACAAGCATGAATTATGTACTTAGTATTAACTGTATCACATAGTTATTTAAGAGTTTTTGTTGTTTGTTATTCCATGAGCCTGCCAGTTATTGTTGCTGCCAGTTTGACTTTCATGTGTCTTAATAGCTGTGGCTGCGATAATTTTGCCCAATACATCCAGCATTTAAATGTTCCATCATGTTAGCATCACAGTTAACTTAGTAAACAGCCTGCATAGTACCTAAAATCAAGTGGCATTTCTTATCCTTGTTATGAGTCACTTTTAAAAAATTCATTGGGGTTTTTATGAAAATATAAGCAGATTTTTAAAAAAAAGTCCAGAATTATTTTGTGAAGCAGGCTTCAGTTCATATAATTTATTCCCCATGACTTCTTTCATTTCTTCTGTGTGTCTGTCTTCCTGTGTTTGCCTGCCCCTCTCTTTCTCTTCTAACAGCCCCCTTGAACCAGCTGATGCGCTGTCTTCGGAAATACCAATCCCGGACTCCCAGCCCCCTCCTACATTCTGTCCCCAGTGAAATAGTGTTTGATTTTGAGCCTGGCCCAGTGTTCAGAGGTAGTTGGGCTCTTCTTTCTTGTTTTCACCCAAGCAAACTAAATATAAACTAGAGATTCTGTTTGTGCCTCACCCTCACAGCGTGTGTTTGTAAGTGTGAGAGTTTTGAAATACTAAATTTCTGCTTGGCCTGGCTGGAATGCTCTGAATGTGCTTTCACACACACTCACTACTGCAAGCTTTCTGTACGCTGTCCATTATACATTCTGAGTTGGCATTTCCATCTTGCTTATTGTTGTCTCATTTCTGTTGAGTCTTGATAACTTCTTAAATTCTGGGAGACATGGGCAGGATTCTTTTTACTTTAGTCTACTAAATGATAACGTCGATTACATAATATTAATATATTTTAAGAAGACAAAAATGTAAATGGAAACCCCCCATGAAAAGGTTTTTATGCTGGGCGTATTGGCTCATATCTGTAACCTTAGCACTTGAGAAACAGGCAGGAGGAGCATCCCGGCAGGTTTGAGGCCAAAGAGATTTTTATGAGACTTCTGACAGTTATTTGAGATTTTATAATATAAGTAATTTTTTGTTCTTTATTTTTCCCCTTATATGCGATATATATATATGTGTGTGTGTGTGTGTATGTGTGTGTGTGTGTGTATATATATTGACTAATAGATGAATATGAGTTCAGAAAAATTGAATCCATATATGGTAAATTATGCCCTCATGTGAGAGAAGCTAGTAATATAATTGTAGTCTCCTATTTTAACCGTCATATTTGAATTTATTGTTAAACTAACTTTTTAAATTTTAAGATAAAATTTGGGTATTTTATTTTAAATATTTTTTACAATTATATTTACTGTCTTGATATACTTAGTGATCTATATTTAATATAATGATGATGCTTTAGAGTTTTTCATCAACTTAGTTGTTCCATAGATGCAGTGATGTAAGTCATTCAGTACTTGGTGATGTCATAAAACTGAGTAATACAATAAATAAGAACTGTGCATGAAGCATGGGCAAGTTGTTAGTGCTTTATAATGTTTGAAGTTATCAGTGGTTTGTATAAGATGTATTGCGCTCTATTTAAGAGAAATTACAGACACCAAATTAGAAAATTGCTTATGCAATCATAGAACTTTCTTATGGTGCTATAATATGATGTAACGGGTATAAAATATCTGTCCATATTTAGCATTTAAGTTCTGTCATTGGCATTCTTACTATTTGAAAGAACATGACTCTTTTTTACCCTTGAGAGTAGTATATTTTATAATTTCTTAGAGATTTTTGCTACTGAGTGTAGAAATTCTGCCTGGAAATCTCAGATCTATTCACTATACACTCTGGGGAGTCATTGCTCTAAACTCCTCTGTTCCATGTACCGTATGTGCTTCTGCTAACTGAGACTACTTATAAAACTCACTTGCCTTATGAAATATTGCTATATATCTGAAATACAACTAGGATGCTGTAGCATTTATTTGCTTACCTTTATAATACCAAATTTTTCAGAAAATCTTGAACACCTATTTCGCAGGGCTGGAGAGATGGCTCAGTAGTTAAGAGCACTGGCTGGTCTTCCAGAGGACCAAGGTTCAGTTCCCAGCACCCACATGGCAGTTCACCACTGTCTTTAATTCCACATAGATACACATGCGGGGATAATACCGATACACATAAAATAAACATAAATAAATAATTTTTAAAAGGAAAGAAAACCAGGCTCTGGAGAGATGGCTCAGAGGTTAAGAGCACTGGCTGTTCTTCCAGAGGACCCAGGTTTGGTTTCCAGCACCCACATGGCAGTTCCCAACCAAAAGGGATCTAACACCCTCTTTTGTCCTCCACTAGCACCAAGCAGACAAATGGTATGCATATAGTCAAAGCACCCACACACAAACAAAACAAAATAAAACAAAAAAATCAAATAAAATAGTAATTTAAAAAAAAAGAAACCCTACTTAACTTTGTTTATATTAACTTTGGAATAAAGGTAACAATTTTTATTTAATAGAAAAAATTCCAGGAACCACTGACATTGTTCACCATCTATTAAATAATAGAGCTACAGTTTGAGATCTTATATAAACTTAGAGCTAATATGAAAGAAACATTTTAACAGTAAGAACACTATATGTTTTTGAAATATTGAGGCCGTTGAAATAATTTTAAAAATTGTTTGTTTTGTAGAGTTTTACATTGATTCTGTTGGCTTTTTGTTTTCATTTTGTTAATTATTTTCTTCGTTTTTTGAGATAGGGTCTCTGTATTATGTATCTCTGGCTGGCCTGGAATTTGCTATGTAGATCAGGCTGGCCTGGAACTCAAAGAGATCCTCCTGCCTCTGCCTCCCAAGTGCTAGGTTTAAAGGTGTGGGGTACCATGCCTGTGCATTGATTTTGATGTTTCAATTTGTTTATCAAAGGAACAAGAACCTGGTAGTAAAATTTAGAAGTGGTGCATTGGTTTAAAGATTATGTTTTTCTAGATTTGTTTATTATCTATCTTAATGGTCATAAATTGGCCAGAAAACCAAAAGAAATTACAGTACCAATCACAAATAATGCCTCTTTTGGCCTACCCTTTGTAAAAGGCCAATATTTAAATATGCATTGCATTTTAAAGTCTAGATCTCCCCCACTTTCTTCCCCTGTTAAGTGAATGTGCTTGCTCCTCCGTAATGCTTCCTCCTCCTTAATGTGGATAATTTTCCCCTTCCTCTAATTTAGGGTCAACTACAGGTTTGTCTGCCACCCCTCCTGCCTCATTACCTGGCTCACTCACTAATGTGAAAGCCTTACAAAAATCTCCAGGACCTCAGCGGGAAAGGAAATCATCATCATCCTCAGAAGACAGAAATCGAATGGTAAGGATATGTGATGTATTTTCCTGTAATCATTGCCAAATATAATTTTATCATTTAGATAAAATAGGCCTGTGTGATATAAAGTTTCTGTCAAATAAATTTGAGTTAATAGGTTTTTTTTACATAAAGTATATTTGCACAAAACTGATTTTTTTGTTCCCATTTCTAATTAAGAGGTCATTTTGAAAGGAAAACAATGTTGTTCTGTTTCTAAAATAAGGAGAACAAGTATAAACAAGCATTCAGAAAGCATAATTAAGCATATATGTTCTAAAAACTGGCTGAGAATTCAAGTATCTACCAAATGACATTCTCCCACGTTTGGAAATTAACTTTCTCCTACTTTTACCTTACCAAGGGAATTGGTATGTTGATTTCTTTTTATTTATTTTTTTTCTTTTTTGATGATCAAATCAGTTAAGATATGTAAGGAAATCTAGCACCAACAGTTATCATAGCTTGTTCACTTAATCTTTTAGGAATTTGAAGCCAAAACTAGCCACGGATATAAAGTTGTTATTTTACCTCTATAGTCCTCCAAATAGTTAAAATAAAAAAACTGTTTTATTTTTATTTTAAGAATAACAATATGTATTTCAACATGTAGTAAGTTATTTTTATTAATTTTTTAGTTACTATTTTATTATTTTATGTATATGGGTGTGTGACTGAATGTGTAAGTGCAACATTTGCATGCCCAGTGCTGAAGGAAGCCAGGAGAGTGCAGAGGGTCCCTGGGGCTGGAGTTAGGAATGGTTGTGACCTGCCTTGTAGGTGCTGGAACACAAACTCAGGTCCTATGGAAGAGCAGCCACTGCTCCTAACTTGTGAACCATCTCTCCAGCATCAGTTATTTCTGTTTTTAAGTATTTTCCTGTCCTAATATTGACTCATCTTAATTTTAATTTTGTTATTTTGAGTCTTGATTGTTACTTTTGCTTCCTCAACATGGTGGCATTTTGTTGTTTTCTTCTTTTCTTAAAAAGACCTTGATCTCTTCCTAACCTCCTGTCAGGCAGCAATATATTTAGCATGGAACATAAGGTTTTTCTTTTATTTGCCTTGACTTGACTTTTGCACTATATTTTTTGAGAAAACACTTGGTAGACGAGATTCAAGTGATGATTGGGAGATTCCTGATGGACAGATAACAGTGGGACAAAGAATTGGATCTGGATCATTTGGAACTGTCTACAAGGGAAAGTGGCATGGTATGTATGCAATATGGTGCCATTGGCACAAGTAGGATATGCTTAAAATTTTCTGTTTTAAAAATTTAAACCAAAGCTGGGTGTGGTGGCACATGCCCTTAATTCCAACACTATGAAGGCAGAGACAGGTGGATCTCTGAGTTCAAAAATAGCCAGAGCTTGGGGCTGGAGAGATGGCTCAGCAGTTAAGAGCATTGCCTGCTCTTCCAAAGGTCCTGAGTTTAATTCCCAGCAACCACATGGTGGCTCACAACCATCTGTAATGAGGTCTGGTGCCCTCTCCTGGCCTGCAGGCATACACACAGACAGAACATTGTATACATAATAAATAAATAAATATTTTTAAAAAATAGCCAGAGCTACACAGAAAAGCCTGTCTTGGGAGGTTGAAGGGTGGAGGACAAGCCAGGCATTATGACACACATTAGGAGTTCAAGGATATCTTTAGCTAAGTAGGAAGTTCAAGGCCAACTTGAGTGCTACAAGAGACCGTCTCAAAAACAAATACGAAGTCAGAATGTTCACTGTTTGCATCATTAAACGATTTTCATCAGATGCAAGAGTCCTCCAGAAGTTCTAACAAAAATGTTGGAACATAAAAACTGGCTTCACAGTAGCCAAGTTTGCTGTCAGTACTTTACAGTAGAGATTCACAAAGATGAAGATCATTGAGCCATCCAGTCCCAAAGACAGTTTGTTTTCCTTTTAGAAGTATTCCTTTTGATACTTTTATGGGTATAAATCATAAATAAACAAAAAATATTCAGTATCACCAGTTTTCTTTCTCTCCTTTTTTTTTTTTTTTTTTTTTTTTGAGACAGGGTTTCTCTGTAGCTTTGTAGTCTGTCCTGGAACTAGCTCTTGTAGACCAGGCTGGCCTCAAACTCAAACTCACAGCGATCCACCTGACTCTGCCTCCCAAGTGCTAGGATTAAAGGCATGTGCTACCACCTCCCAGCAATCACCAGTTTTCTGAGATTACAAATTCAAAAGATAGAAATCACAACTTTCCTTCCAAAAGAACAAAAAATAATTTAAATTGATCACATGTAGATTGTGATTATGATCGTGCTTATTTACCTCTTGGTGATGTGAAAATATGAAAATTTGGGAGATTGTTCATTTAGTCTGAGCAAGTAATTTGACAGTAATGAACAGGTTGATACCTAGGAAAGTTTGCTCCCCAGAGGGATGGTAAAGATGGAAAGTGAAAATAGACTTGAACACTCACTAGTAGAAGGTTTGATGAACGCATTGATTGATATATCCATAGGTGGTTATATAAGAGTCAAAATTACATAATAGAGCTACAGTGATATGGAAATATGTCTAATATATTGAATTGCTTAAAGCTGCATGTGTAATACCTTCATGTTAAAGATCTATATTAGGGCTGGAGAGATGGCTCAGAGGTTAAGAGCACTGGCTGATCTTCCAGAGGTCCCGAGTTCATTTTCCAGCAAATACATAATGGCTCACAACCATCTGTAATGAGTTTCAGTGCCCTCTTCTGGCCTATAGTGAAGGTGTACATGCAGGCAGAACACTGTATACATAATGAATAAATCTTTTAAAATAACCTATATAAAATATATTAACAGTATAACAATGCTATTTGAATTCTTTCATAAGGTTATTTTATATGCATTCAATAAGTATTTATACTGCATATACAGATAAACTTAGGATATATACATGCATATATATACATACACACACACATACATGACAAGGGTTATTTCTGAGTGCCATAATTATGGGGAAATCTTTATCTATGCTTTCCTGAAACATTTAAGTGGTCAACAGTATTAGGTGGTATAACTGATAGAATGAATACTATATTACTTTGATAATTAAGAAAAAGATAAATGGTAGTTTTATATATGTGTATATATATTATTTATGTGTTCAGATAATTGAAACTCACCAAGTGAATACATTTGTGATTAATAAGCATGTTTATAGCCTTTTAGAAGGTTGCTGCGTGCCCTCTTTATTTGCTCTCCTTGCAAAGATAACTAACATCCTGACTTCAGTAGGATATAATGTGTAGATTGTTTTTGTGCCGCTCCTTTTTTCAATATTGTAAGATCCATCAGTGTTATTGGGTGTTTGTGTGTCTGTCATTCATTCTCTGAGTAGTATACATTGTGTAACCGTAACTTGATTTCCATCTGCTATATAATAAGCATTTGGGTAGTTTACAGTTTGGTGCTATTCTGGATGCTGCTGCGGTGTATATTTTTAGTTACATGCCTTTGAAGAACATATGTGTATATTTTTACTGGCTATATGCCTAGCAGAGAATTATAGACCTACACCATATGCTTACTTGTGGTTTTACAGATATTCCCATCAGTGCTGCCAATTAATTGTACCAGTTTATACATCTACCAGCAGTGTGTAAGAGTTAAATTTAAGCCTGGCCATGGTGGCGCACGCCTTTAATCCCAGCAGGGGGCAGAGGCAGGCAGATCCCTGTGAGCTTGAGGACAGCCTGGTGTACAGAGAGAGTTTAAGGGAAGGCAAGGCTATACAGAGAAACCCTGTCTCAAAATAACCCCCTCAAAAAAAGTTAGATTTAAAATACCATAATTTTAATAATTTTCCAGTTGACATTATAAGTGAGTCATATTTGTCTCTCTTTTGGGTAACAATTTGCAAGTTTTTATTTTAAACTGAGCTCCACTGGACCTGTTGTCCATAGTTTCAGCACTCACTTAGTAAATAACACCTCATTTAACATTGTCAAATAATTATGAAAATTCTCTGAGTACTTAATTGGCTAAACTAAATTCCCAGGAGAAAAAAAGTTGACATTATTGTAGCTTATATCTTGAAATAGTAGTATAGGATTATCATTGTTAGTAGCTTTGTGTGGGGGTTGGGAGATGTGTGTCTCATAGTATATATTTTTAAAAAAAGAAAAAAACAGGCTAGGCGACTTTAGCCCCAGCTTTGCACGCAGGAGGCGGAGGCAGGTGGATCTCTCTGAATTCAAGGTCAGCCTGGTCTGCAGGGGAAGTTCCTATACAGCCAGAGCTGTTGTACAGACAAACCTTGTCTTGAAAAACCATAAAAACAAAAAAAGAAGGAAAGTACTATAATTTCTTTTACTGAGATAATTAGCAAAAATGCCCAGGAACATTTCATATTTCATAATTTGAAATTTTGGAATAACAATTTTTTTTCAGGCGATGTGGCAGTGAAAATGTTGAATGTGACAGCACCCACACCTCAACAGTTACAGGCCTTCAAAAATGAAGTAGGAGTACTCAGGTGAGCTAATAGATCACTGTTTTCCAGTGGATTTACTTCAAGTAGAAAAACATAATGATCTACTTACAGTTTCTATTCATATTGTTTTCCTGATTGCAGTATCATTTAGTACTGTATATAGAAGATATATTCAGCCGGGCGGTGGTGACGCACGCCTTTAATCCCAGCACTCGGGAGGCAGAGGCAGGTGGAACTCTGGGAGTTAGAGGCCAGCCTGATCTACAAGAGCTAGTTCCAGGACAGGCTCCAAAACCACAGAGAAACCCTGTCTCAAAAAAAAAAAAAAAAAAGAAGGAAATAAAAAGTGTCTGATCATGTATAATAATAGTTCCATTTAGGAAGGTAATACTCTAAAAATTCTAAATGTCTCAAAACACGTTTAAAATTGTATTAGCCCTGGGCTCTAGGACTTGAGGAATATTGACAAATGAGAGCAAATCCATGATAAGAAGACTTAGGGAAAATTCTGGAGTTAAAACTTTATGTAAGGGAAATGCTCAACAAAACTGAGATTTCAAAGCAGAGAAGGGTATTGTATTCAAGAGGGTACATAGTTATTCTTATATTGTAGAGAGCAAAACAAGGAAGCTAGTTATAGAGATTAGAGGAAAATGATTTTGCTTTTACATAAGAAAACTTCCTAATATGTTTAGAACCACTTAAGCAAAAACAACCTCTACTTCCTCACTCAATATACTTAAATAATATATTTCTAAATAGACTAGATAATTACAGGTTAACTTTATTTTTGTTTCTAGTACTTTTGACTGGGAGCATATTGTTGGTGGACTGATGTGTCTCTCTTTGAGGAATTGTTACTCATTGTCACGTTTCTTCTTCACAGGAAAACGCGACATGTGAATATCCTACTTTTCATGGGCTATTCAACAAAGCCACAGCTGGCTATTGTGACCCAGTGGTGTGAGGGCTCCAGCCTGTATCACCATCTCCACATCATTGAGACCAAATTTGAGATGATCAAACTTATAGATATTGCACGGCAGACTGCACAAGGCATGGAGTAAGTTCAGTTCTGTTAAATCTTCATATATGACTTTTGAAAACCACTTAAGGATACTTTAAGGCCCTAATAATACCTCTTACGGATTGCGTTTTAAGTTTTTATGCAGGGGTATTAATAGCTAGCACTAGCTTATTAAAAATATTTCTCTAATTCAGCCTTTAAAGTATATAAGGAGTGTAATATTTGACAAGAACTTTACAATTGCAAATGATGATTAATTAGTTCACGGTGATTTATGTGAACAGTGGAAGTACAGAAAAGCAGGACCCCTCTGGCTCCCTCCCCCACCAAAAAACCACCACCACTAAAAAAAGCCATTACTAGTTAATGTGACTATTATCTGTGCTTTCAAATCATTTTCTTTTACATGCCTGTTTTTTCTGCTGCAAAATGGTCAATTATTAAAGTTTTAAGTGACTTGTCTATATTGTGATTCTAGCTGAGAAATTCTGCTATATCTAGGACTTGAACATTTTTCCAAAACAGTGTGATGAAGCGAGTGTGTACTTACCAAATGATGTTCAAGTGTGCCCTCCATTGCAGACAGTTTTGGTGTGTGTTATGGGGAGGGGCGTGTTAGGGATTCGCCCTCAGTCTAATCCCTAGAACATGTGTTCTGCCATTGAATAATCCCAACCTCTTCTTTGTGGTTCCCAGATATTAGCAGCCAAACCTGACTCCCTACAAGTCCTAAGAGTCTTCTCTAGGGAACCTTACCAGACCAGGAGGAAAGGGTATCATTCTACAATTTACAAACAATAAGCCAGACAATTTTCTAGTCCCCCACTTAGTCTGAATAAAACAAATTGTCTAATCTGCAGACGTTAGAGGAGAAGTCTGATAGACATGAAAGGCCAAAACTCACGGGGGTGGGGATGCGCTGGGAGAACAGATCCAACGAAAGGAGACGTTACCACTCTCACCAAGAGAAAATGTATTAGTTTCCTTGGGGAGATTAAAAAAGATAAAATTTAAAAAAAAAAAAAAAGAAAACATTTGTAGCCAGGCATGCTGGCATGTGCCATGACCCCAACACTTGGGAGACAGGAAGGAGGATCATCTAGTCTACACAGCATGTTCCAGGCCAGTTAAAGCAATGTTCTGCCTAAAAATCATTGCCATTGAATATCAAAATGTTTAAATGTTGATACTTGTAGCCTATTGGAAATAGTGTTCTTTTCAGCTATTTTAACCTTTAAGTGTTAAAATTCACAAGGAATGCTGTAGTTTTAGGATTCATTTGAATTGTCTTCAGCAAAAGAATTTTAAAACTACCAGGCAGTACTATTGCATACCTTTAATCCCAGCACTTGGGAGGCTGAGCCTGGCAGATCTCTGTGAGTTCGAGGCAAGCCTGATCTACAAAGTAAGTTCTAGGACAGCCAGGGCTTCACAGAGAAACCCTGTCTTTAAAAAAAAAAAAGAAGAAGAAGAAAAAGTTTAAAACTATTATGCAGTTTTGCTGACTGTAACCACTAGCACTTGGGAGCTGGAGGCAGGAAGCTCAGAGTCCAAACCAGTTTGTAATATGTAAGAACTTGCCTCAAAACAATAACAACAGCATGCTATTTGGTTTAATATTAGTTTTTCTGTGTTGTATTGCATAGTTCAAAAAAGGGACTCTTAAGATTTTTGTTTGTTTGTCTGGGGTTTTTTTTGTTTTTTTTTTTTTTTTTTTTGGTTGTTTTTGGTTTTTCAAGTCAGAGTGTACAGCCCTGGCTGTCCTGGAACTCATTTTGTAGTCCAGGCTGGCCTTGAATTCACAGATCCACCTGCCTCTGCCTCCTAAGTGCTAGGGGTTATAGGCATGCACCACTACCACCCAACTAAGATAGTTTTTTGTTTTTGTTTTTTTGGGTGTTTTTTAGCAAAGTGAGTTGCATACCAATTTGTATAAGTAAATATTTCCCCCTGTTCTTTTTTTTTTTTTTTTTTTTTTTTTTTTTTTTTGGTTTTTCGAGACAGGGTTTCTCTGTGGTTTTGGAGCCTGTCCTGGAACTAGCTCTTGTAGACCAGGCTGGTCTCGAACTCACAGAGATCCGCCTGCCTCTGCCTCCCAAGTGCTGGGATTAAAGGCGTGCGCCACCACCGCCCGGCTTTCCCCCTGTTCTATCATCAACCACTAAAGTAGATAATCATATTTGGGTATCTGGGGTTTTGTTTTTGCTTTTTGGAGGTTGGATTTTACTTAGCCCTAGCTGACCTGGAACTCACTGTAAACGAGACTGGGAAAAACTCCTGTCTCTCTCTGTTCCACTAGTGCTGGGATTAAAGGTGTGCAGTGCATCACACCTGGCCCGTATTTGTATTTTTTAGTGTTGTACATATGTATATGAAAATAGGATTAGAAGATACCACGTTCAGTGGTGGTTGTCTCCAGCAAGGAAAAGAGTTCGTATAAACTTTGAAAACATAGAAAGCAAATGTAAAAATCTCAACAGTATTTGTTAGGGTTGGAATATGAGTGATCTTTGCACTATCTTTTGTTGTTGTTTGTCTTAATTTCAAACTAAACTTACTTCAAAATAATAAAAAATCATATGAAAAATGTAAACACAAATATATGTCTGTAATCTACTATCCAGAAATAACTGGTTTTGATGATCTAATGTGTTTTGTGTGTCTTAATAGTTGTGTATGTTAATACTGTACACAATCGTTTTGTTACTATTTTATAATTATAGAACCAGGCTTTGCCTTCCTTTTTACTCTTTGCACATCATCGCTGATTAATAAATACTGTTTTCTGATCCCAGTTCTGCTGAATATTATTTACTCACTAGCTCCTTCGTTTATTTAAGTGCCAAATATATTTGTAGTGCTTCAGTACAGTATTTGTGTATTAACAATTATATATGCCCTTACAATGTATCAGACATTGTTCTGTATATTTTATTTGTGATTTCTCACTTATTCTTCAATAACCAGTGAGTCAGTGCATATAGAAAGACCATGTAACTTGCCTCAGACACTTGGGCTCCCCAGTGAAGCCCTTTGAGCTTTGTACTATGTCGCTTTTCCAAATTATACAACCCTTTTACCAACCTCAGCCCTTAATGCCATACAATATTCCTGCAGTCCATGGTTCATGTACTTGGCCTCTCTTCTAGACCATTCCTCTGTCCTCAGACCCCAAACCCCTTCCCTAAGAATATCACCTGATGATCTTGTTTATCATTTCATTAAGAAAATGTGTTGAACAGGAAGTGATAGTATGCACTTACAGTCCCATCCTGGGCCACAGAATGAGAGACCCTTTTTTTAAAAAAAGAAAGTTCCCTGGGCATCCGTGCTGCTAGATCCAGTGGTTAAATTCTCAGTCTTCCGTTTATTTGATCTGTCATAAACAGAGTACAGTTAATCCAGTTCTTCATGGGTAACATTCTTTGTTCTCTGCTTAATCGTATTCTTAATCTCGTTAGTCAAGATGGTCTGAGTAGCGTCTGCCTGGGAACCCTGAAATTTAGAAATACTGAATTGTAAATACATTTTAATATGATCTACAAATGGTTCACAAGCATATGAGGTTGAAGAAATCTATACCAAAGCATATTTTTCTGATTATCCCACTAGTAGCTGCTTCTCAACTGATTCATCCTCTACCCCTCTGGGATCTCATTCAGTTTTATGGTGTGAAAGAAAATTACTTTAAAATCAGTTCAGTACCCTTCCTGCTACTTCATTTCACTTGTACTTAAGACTCTCATGTCAGACTGTCTGCTCAACATGTATGCTTGTCTAATGTCTTGTGTTTACTAGATCATGAACTCAGCTGCTGTCTTCTCCTCTAGCCTGTTCTTCAGCCTGCTGTTCTTGCAGCTGCTCATCTCAAACATCATACAGTGATCCTCGAGTCCTCTCATTCGTTCTTGCCACACAACTCTCATTTTATCTGTTTTTTGTTGCTGCGTTGAGACAGGGTTCCTCTCTATAGTCCTGGCTGTCCTGGAACTCCCCATGTAGACCAGGGTGCGCACCACACCTAGCACTCAGTGTATCGTTTTGTTTTGTGTGTGTGTGTGGTTTTTTTCCCCCCTTTGTTTTTTTCGAGACAGGGTTTCTCTGTAGCTTTGGAGCCTCTTCCTGGAACTCACTCTGTAGACCAGGCTGGCCCCGAACTCACAAAGATCCGCCTGCTTCTACCTTTCGATTGCTGGGATTAAATGCATGCACCACCACCACCCGGCTCAATATGTCTATTTTAAAAGAATATCCAGAGCCTTATAACTTCTTGTCAGTTATTTAGGTTATCTTCCTACTTAAGCTCCCATGCTCATACCTGAATTAACTCCTGTCTCCCAGTTTCCACACTTTACTACCTCAATTTAGTTTCAACACAGTGGCTTATTTGGCCCTGTCAAAACAGATTGTGTTGCTAGTCCTCCCATATTTCATTCATAATGAAAACCAAAGTTCTGTGTGGGGAGAGTAAAGTTTCACAACTAGGCCTGTCTCGCTGCACCTAGTACACCGTCTCTCCATCCCCCTCCCCCAGCTTTTCTGTTACTTCTCAGATTATCTGTGCTTTTCATCCAGGCAATGTCACACTTTGCCTTCTTGCTATTCTTTGTATATGGAAGCCCTGTGTCTGTCATAGGGCTCTGTCCTTTCTTCCTTGTCCTTGGTATAGTCTCATCCCTTAATATATACTATCTTACCTCATTAGAGGTCCTCTTTCACCTAAAGTAAACCCCCTACAGTTGAGCATTCCCACACACACCTGGCACAGTTAACAGTATGTGGTGCACTGTGTATTTTACTGACATAATCTTTTATTTTCTATCTTCTGCACTACAGTGTTAAGTACCTTGTTTTATCTCTAAGACTAAACAAGAACAGTTGTTGGTTAGCACTTATTGGGTTTTTGTTAAATATATAAAGTAATTCTTAAGAATACATCAAAATAAACACTATCATCTCCATGTTACAGATTAGTGGATGAAAGCTAGATTGTAGTCACATGATAATGGCGCATGCCTTTAAGCCCAGCACTTGGG